CGATCCTCCTGCCTTCATTTCACGAGTTTCTGGGATAACAGGATTGTGCTGCTGTGTCAGCCCTTAAGTAGATTTATTTAAAATTTTCTTATAGTTTTGATTGCTTTGTTTCATGACAGTGGGTCATTTTTTCTTGATTTTTTACATGTCATAATTTTGAAATGAATGCTGACGACATGTGTAAGATAATGGGAACTAAGTTGGGCAGAATTTGTGCCAGGAAATCGGCAACCCCTCTTTTCTTCTACGCCAGGGATGTATGTGCACTTGCGAGTCTCTGTGTATGTGTGTATGTRTGGTATATATGACATGCATGTAACATGTGCATGTTTGTGGGTGTTCATGTGCGTGCATGTGTGTGAGGGCACCGGTATGTTAACTCACTCCAGCTGGGCATTACCTGGGGTGGGGTTCTGTGCCTAGGGTGGCCTCCACGGCAGCCAGGCTCTGCAGTCCTCTGTGCACATCAGTGTTGGGGCCTCCTTTGTGCCTGGCCATCTTCTGCTCTGCCTCTCCTAGTCCCAGATGCTGGCTCCCTCCAGCCAGGAGCGGGATAGTGGGAGGTCTCAGGTGGCCGTGACCCTGTGTCTCGGTGGGTTTTCTTGTCCAGCCAGTCTCACGAGCTCCTGCTCAGGGTCTGGAGAGGAGGCTGGGAGAGGGGCCAGCCCTGGTGCACAGCTGTGGGGCTGCTGTTTCTGCACCAGCCCCGCTGGCTTCCCAAGTTCATGACAAGCCTTTGCTGGGTTCTTCCCGCCTATCCTAGGTGCTCTGCCACCTGTGAGCCAGCGCTYTGCCTGTCTCCCGGCCTGCTGGGCTTCCTTGGACTCTGGCTGGGTGTTCCCCAGCCCAGCTCTCTTGTGGGTTTAAGCAGGGCTGGACTTCTCTTGTGGTTCCCTTTCGGCTTTCCACACCCAGGAGGAAAGCTGTGTTTTCATTCTCCTGCCTGCAGGGTGGCTGCAGGGTGGCTGCCCACCCCCACTGATCCTTTCTTTCCCTGTTGCAGCCAAGAAAAAAGACCCAGGTCAGGAGGCTCCAGGGAGAGCAGAAATCAAAGGGGCCTTTAGAAAGTGTTCCCCCTACATCTCCTCATCCACAGGCCACTGCTTGCTGAAAGGGAGTGACCCTGTGAAACAGAGCCGCCCACAGCCCCTGAAGGCCCTCAGGAGCACGTGCTGGGAGACAGCAGGATGTGCTGAGCAGCTGCGCTTGGGACGCTCCTGTTGACAGCTTCTCGAGGGTTTGTCCTTCCCTTCTCTTTGAAAATCAGTGAGAGCTATGGACCCTCTCCTGAAAGGATTCACATGTACACAGAGGGTGCGTGTGATCTGGGACTCCACCGATTCTCCAAAGTCCCTCCAGGACTGCCTTTGATCCAAGGGACTCACACACACCTGTGCCTTACTCCTGGTTCTCCGAATGTGGAGACTGAGRCAAAACCCGATGTGTGTCTGGGACTTTGGAGTGTGGCTCTGGGGACAGAGTGAAGGGCAGAGGAGTAAAACTCGGAAGAGGGGATTATCMGTGTGAGGAGGTGTGACCAAGGTGMTATCAGGGTGGTTGATGATGGAGGGAAGGGGGTGTTCGTCACGGATCCTGCCCTCTGTGGCGTGGATCCTTGTGTCTCTGGGTGCTAYCCTGGAGCTGGACCAGGCTCCCTGAGGCAGAGAGCCCGCGAGCGAGAGCTCCCTGGCCTTCTGAGCGTGGCTGGTGTGGTGCCGACTATCCTGGCTGTAATTGGGATGGGAGGCAAGGCCGAGGGGCTTAGGGCAGGACAGCGTTTCTGGTCAGGCCTGTGTGGCAGGACTATGGCCTCCGTCCAGCAYGGCTGGCATGGTGCTGCCGTGTCCCCCTCGAGCCTACTCTTCACCGTCATTTCTCAAACATGCTTTGTTGACCTGGACTCTAGTTGCAAGGGACAGAACCAAGTTCAACCTTGCTTCAGCCAAAATGTGAGTTCTCTTATCAGAGAAGTCTGTCTTTTAGTGCTGCAGGGCCCTGGGGCTTAATTGACCCACCAAGTCCTCTCCCACCCTCGCCCAGTGCTCACCACTGGAMTCTTTGCCCATTATTTCTTTTCTTTGTAGAGAGAACCACGGGCATCATCAGATTTCACTTAAGACCCCCTGGGTTAGCCATGCCTGTGGGGGTGGGACTCTGTCACTCTGTCAGCCCCGGGGAGTCACTGACTGCTGACCTAGCTGGCCTGGGGAAGTCACTGATTAATGCTGGGTGGGTCGTGGTTCATCCCTGTCCCTGTCCCAGTGCTGAGGCCTGGAGGTGCTGGACTGTCCCATGTTGACGAGGGGGCTGTCCAAGGGAAACCTGCAGAGGAGAGGGGGTCTGGGCTGCAGAACCCCATAGCTCCACGAGCTCCCGGGAGCTTAGCCCATTCTGCCAGCTTCTTTCTGGAACATTCTTCCCTTGRCCGTTAGGAGAATTCCTAGCTCCTCAGAGTGCTTCCTTGGATGGCTCCCCYCGATGTCCTAAACTTTCTGGCTCCATCTGTTCCTCAGGACTTGTGTGTGGTGCGCACCTCGGGGCACGTAGCTCTGCCTGCAATACTCCACACAGGGCAGGCATGTGGGCTCACACGTGTGCTGTGCCCTGAGGCTAGGACAGGCTTGGTCATGTGCGGGCTGTGCCCTGTGCCACGCCCCGATGGCCAGCTGGCTTCCACTTTGCAGCATCCCTGTAAAATCACACGGTCAGCGGCCACTTGGAAGTCAAGGTCCCTTCTCATGTCTGTCCAGCACCCACTCCATGGTTTGCCCACATCCCTGAAGCCAGGCACAGGCACCCTCGTTCAACAGGTGAGGGCGGAATGTCGAAGGCTGGAAACCTGCCGAGTGCCAAGCTGCGCCCCTCAGGGGACGGGCAGCTCAAGTGGTGCCATCTGGGTGAGACAAGATTGATGAGAGGTGAAGTGAGTGAACAGGTAGGTACGTCAGACAGTGATTGATGGCCTTGAGAGACGTATGGCAAGAAGGCCATGCCAAGAGGACAGGAGGGCATCTGGGATGACCCGGAGGGGGCTGTGTGGGGCTCTGCAAGGATTCTGTTGTTTATTACCAAGTCCACCTGCCACCTAGAGACGTTTCCAAAATCCGCCAAGTGAAGCAGCCAGACGCAGAGACGAGTCCTGCGGGCCTCATTCCACGGGGAGTCTCAGGAAGCCAGCTCATCTCAGCAGAGTGCTGAGAGGAAGGTGGAGGAAGGGACGGGAGGGGACGGAGTGGGGGCCAAAGGGTGCCACGTCCCAGCTGGAGGAACAAGCCCCAGCCACCACCGGGGCTGCGTGTGACCATGGTCCTTCCCAATGTCTCGCATACTTCAAAATTACTAAGAGAATGAACTTTAACCTTCTTCCCACAAAAATGACAGGTGATGGACGTGTTAATTGGCTTGATTTAATCTTTCCACATGTTGATAGATCAAAACTGACAGCACCTCACAGGCCCGGTTCAAGCTCACAGGTCCGTGAGAAAGGAGTGAAAAACCACACCCATAGATATGCACAGTTTTTATGTCAGTGAAACAGTAATGAGCCTTTTAAAATTACCATGCTGCTGAGGAGAGAGCCGGGCTCCAGTCCCAACTGAGCATGAGAACGGAGACAGGYGGGCGCAGAGGTGGGCGCGAGCCTGCAGCCTGGCGTCAGGGCTGGGAGGCCCCGCGTGAGGCCACGCCTGTGCGCCAGCTGCTCAGACTGAGGCAGGAGCACCCACAGCTTATTGAGGCCCCGTAAATTAAGGACTGGGGTGTGGCTCTGCAGTGGAGCACTACCCAGCACGTGCAAGGCCTAGCTCCATCCCCATGGCTGCAAAATGTGAAAGACAAAGGAAGACCATGTCCCGACCCCCCAGCGGGCAGGTCCTGCTACATTCGCTGCCATTGAACTGGGGCTCCCTGCTCTCTGGGGGCAACTTTGTGAACAATAGAAACACCCTGGCTTTGCTTAGTCTGAGAAAGATTCCTGTGTTCAGAGGGCTGAGAACAACCTGCCACGGGGCAGGGGCTACAGGGCCTGGGGGCTGATGGGGCAGCAGGCATGGGGCCTGCAGGCCTGCTGAAGTGTCCCTGAAGCCACCTGCCTGCACCAGAATAAGTCCTGCTGCCACTCAAGGGTCCGTTGATGCCAAGAGGAGGGGAGCATGGTTAGTTACCTGGAACCTGATCGAGGAGGCAGGGAGCTCGGAGAGTCAGGTGCTGGCACAAGTTAAACTCACCGTACGTTTGAACACCCCTGGGCTCCTGCCCCGTGGAGCCTGGAAGTGAAGTTCTTGTCCTCTTTAGGAAGCATGCTGGACTCAGGACTCCTATTTCCCTTTTAAAGTCAGGACAGCTGAGATTGTGATGATATCCAACGTGTTTATTGGCTGTTATCTCCGGCTTTCTGACAATAATCATGGTGGCATCGACTGAGTGCTGTGGCCCTTACCTACTGCTTCCAGAGCCTTGCTCTTYAGCCCTGTTTCTCTGGGGCACCCATGGAGCAGCAGTGTCCCCTCTGTTGTGCAGATGAGGGAATTCAGGGAGAGAGACAGAGATTTGAGCTCAGTGGGGAGGTGCAGAGAGCTGTCACAGGTGCTGTGGGGGGGGAGGGGGATGGCGCCTGCTCCTTGGGAAGAGGCCCTGGTGGGTGGCTCTCCCTCCATTCTTAGCATCAGCTCCCAGGGCTCCACGGGGGGGCTCTGCAGGTGTGAAGGTCCAGGTGCAACGGGAGCTCACTACTGTTTGGCTGTGAGGGCGCCATAGTGTGTGTGTACACGCAGACACACCCACACCCACACCACGCACACTGGTATCTATACACAGCCCCCCCGTGTGCACACCCCACACCCACACCCCGTCTGCRTTGGGTCCGGGGTCCCGAGGCTGCTCCCACGGCTCCTAACAGGCTGGTGTTAGGACCCAGGAAGGACGCAGCAGGGCGGGATATAAATAGAGAGAGGAGGACAGTTTGAGGAGAGCTGACCTCACTCCCTCTCCACCCAAGAGCGGCTGGCGGAGGTGTGGAGCCAGACCAGAGGGAGGCCGCGGGCGGGCGGGACGCTGGGAGCAGCTGGAGCTCCAGGGCGCGCAGCTGGGGAGCCTCCTTGCTCYGCCATTCTGGGCAGGAGAGGGACACGCAGCTCCAGCTGGACAGAGAGGGGACTTGGGACTGCCACCGGGCCTGGGTTCCTCTTGCATTCCACGTGGCTTTGGACGCCCGGGCTCCTGGATCACGGAAGGAGCTCCAGTTCTGAGAYAGGAGAGAAACCCCGAGTGCTTCCAGAACCTGTGTCACAGACTTTGAGGAAACAGACTTTCTGTCCCCGAACCTGAAAAGATGTCCCTCTCCCAAGGAGCCAGAAGGTAGAGGACACACTCTTCCACCCTCAGGAGTTCCGCTCGGATCCCCTGCAGCCTCTGAGAGCCATGAGGCAGCCGCGGAACCTCTGCTGCGGGCCCCTCTGGCTGCTCCTCACCTGCTGCAGTGCTCAGGTAATGTGCCTGGTCGGGCGGGASGCTGGAGTTCTGTGTGAGGTTCCCCACGTCTCATGATGTGGTCTTCCCTGTGCAGGTGCGAGGAGCCCACGGCAGGTCGCAGGACCATCCAGGTAAGAGACCCATCCCCTGCTCCAGTGGGGCCTTCCCTCTTTCCCAGCTGGGTGCTGCCCAGCTACTGGCTTCACTTTGAGGCCACCAGTGATGGCCCTTCTTGGGCTCCTCTGCCCCAACGCCCCTACCCCACAGCCCCGCCTGCCTCATCTGCATCAGTGTCCTGGGCCGTGGGTGGGGAAGCGGCTCTGTCCCCACTGGGCTGGGTCAGGAGGGCTCTTGTGATCCAGGAGACCTCAGGCTGAGCTCTGTCTCAGTTTGCATCAGGTGCTGGTGACATGAGGCCCCCARAACAGCAAGCTCTGGAGCCCCCAGCCCCTTGGTGTGCCCAGTCTTGGACGTGGGGCCTGCTCACCAGAGTGGCCTGTCTTTGGCCATGTGATTCCCCAGTCTGGAGGTTGAGGGTGAGGTTGCCCAGGAGGACGGAGGAGCAGCCTGGGCACTGCTCTGCCAGCTCTCAGCCAGCTCTCAGCTAGCGGGCCTGGCATTCCCTGCGCTCCTGTGCCTCTGGGTGGCAGTCGGGGCGTCGGGGACCTGCGAGTGACCCTTTGCCGGGAAATGCTGACTCAGGCTGACAGCATGGGGTTCCCGGCCGCCCCGTGGCGAGMAGTCCTGCCCTCATTCTGGGGAGCCCGCCCAGATCCACAGCCGGGTCCCCCAGGGCCCCTCACAGRAAACCCTGAGAAGTGGGGCCTATCTCCCCCCACGGGTTGTGATGCTGCCAGGCCATTGGTCCTTGTCATCACCTCCCTTCACCCACGCTGGGGTAGAGACTGCCCTCTCTCCRCTCCATGCTCCTGGAGTCCTCTGTAAGAAGGTGCTGAAGCTGCGCCCCTCCCTGGGCCAAACACTAAAGCTAAGAAGCAGARCCTGTGGCCTGGGCACAGGGGACAGGTCAGCGCTGTGTTGGTGGAGGCTGTTGGGCCAGACCTGGCTCCCACTGAGGCTGGGATAGGAGATGGAGAGAGGGTAGCTGAACAGGTGTCCTGGCCAGGGAGTGCCGCTGAGGAGGTGGCCCTGGGCCAGCCCTTCCCAGATGGTGGCCTCTGACAGAGCGTCCTCACAGCTCGCATTCTGGACCCTGAACTCCAGGGAGCCGTTGGAATCTGTCAGTCTTTCCCTCCACATAGAAACGTCGCTCCTGCCSGTCCTGACTTAGTGTAGTGGAGGCCCTTTCTTCTCTAGCCGGCCACCTAAGGAAAGCAGCTGTGCCTGCAGCCGTTGAGGGCCACTGAGACGCAGAACGCAGGGGCCTGTGGGACCACTTTAGGGCCCCCCTGTCCCCAGCTGTCTTTCTAGTCCTTTGTCACCTCTGAAATCTCTCCCCAGCCTCCTCGGACTCCTTCCCCTTGGGATTGACCATTTATTTCCTTCCTTTGGCTTTGGACAATGACACTGCCCTCAGGGAACACCAGTGTCTGTCTCCCTGCTCCTCTCTCAGTCCTGCCGTCTGTCCCCCGCAGTCTGTCCCCTGCTGTCTCACCTTGCTTTGGCCTCCCCCTCCTCCTCCTCCGGCCACTCCCTTGTCCCTCTCCTCATCACAGCCCTGCACTTTCTCTTCCTTTCTGCATTTCGGGCTCTGCTCACCCCTTCCCATAGGGAGGCCCTCAGTGGTCCGGGGGCACTGTGTTCCTGTGGCCCCAGAGCCCTGGGGTGCTGCACCCTGGCTGTCCCCTCAGGGTGCCCACTGAGTGACAGCCACCCTGGGGTGCCTCAGGAAGAGCGAGACCTGCTCTTAGTGTTGGTGAGGAGGGTGTCACCCACGGCAGCAGCAGGCAGTGCGAGGGGCCACCGCCAATGCCAGTTAACCAGGCAGGGCCCACAGCAGCCAACCAGGGGCGTCCACACTCCTGAGCTCCAGTGGAGCCGTGTGTCCTGCCAACAGCACACGCTCCAGCTACAGAGCCGGTCCCCTGTGGGCCTAACCAGGGGCTCAGGGCTGTGAGGGAGCTGGGGGTGCTATGCCAGAGATGGCCGAGGGCAGTTGGGAGACGCGGGAAGGCAGGCAGGTTCAGGGGCCCGGGAGGTGAGGGCAGCCCGACGCACGGCTAGGACACTGGTCACCACCCAGGCCCTCTTTTTGGGGAGGACTCCGTGGCCGCCAAGCTTTCCCTCTCTGGTCCTGCCCCAGCATCAGGCCTCCTGCCCAAAAGGTGCTTGATGGATATTTTCCCACCTATCTGTGCGCCACCCTGGAGGACTGGCTGCGCTCTGGCAGAACAAGTGAACGTGCTAGCCCACCCGAGTGCCTTCAGCCCCCAGGGACTTGTACCTGTTTGTCTGTCTACATTGGCAGATGTTGGTGCTGTCTACACTGGCCCTGGTGCCCCGATGCCTGCTGGGCAGAGAGGGAGTTAGCTTTACAGACAACACCAGGTCAATGTGAGCTTTTGCAGTGACTGTCACTCGCGGCCAGATTGTCATCTTAGAGAATTGTACAAGGTTGGAAGCAACACCCAAGTCTGCTCAGCCCACCCCCCATTTCATAGGGAAACCAGGAACAGAAGGGAGATTCAGAAGGGAGCAGGAGCTGGTAGGGCCGGGACCCTCAGCCCACCTGAGACCTCTCCCAGGGACCAAGGCTCCACATGCGGCCTGCTCCCAGGCCAACCTACGAAGCCAGGAGGGCTGATTAGTGCAAACCCATAAATGGCCTCAGCCAGAGGCGGCAGCCACTTTGCAAAAGTTTATAAACATGCCCTTTTATAGACACATTTGTATGAGGAAAAGACCCGGTCGTTGCTGGTCYTGGGGTCCCAGGAGTGGCACAGTCTAGCCTGTTCCCAGGAGGATGGAGACTCGAGATGATTGCAGTCATTATGATTTTGTGTATTTACACAGCACGTAGCTCAGAGAGGACGGCCTAGCTGCTAGGCCACGGCAGCACCACATTCTTCATCTTCCTAGAGAAAGGGAAATGTGTTYGTGATGGAGCCTTTAAAACTAGTGCCTACGGCCTGTTGAACAAATGGAAATTTGGCAGAGACAGATTTGCAGGGGAGCAGGATCACGCAACGTCAATGCTCTGTTGTCCAAGTGTGGCTCATCCTGGCCCCTTGGTTCTACCTGTTAGTTACCTTTTAAATCCCTACATTAAAAACGTGGGAAATTTCAAAGACAAAACCCCGAAGCCCCTACCCACATGCACACACGCACACACACGCACAAGCACACACACGAGCACACATGCCTAAGCCCTGCTTCACCAGGGGCTGCCACCCACCAAGGAGAGCAGAGTCCGGCACAGGGGCAGGTGTGGACACATGACCAGAACTGCCCAGTAACCCCAACACCTTCGGAAACAGTAAGGAGCAGGGACTTGCACACGGCGGTGTCCGGGAGGCCAGGGAGGCCATTCAAGTGCAGCGTCCTGTGTGTTGAGCATCCTGTGTCCAGAATTAGAAGGAGGAATTGGTGCAGAATGCGGGAGACCATGCCCCAGGCCAGGGGATAGCAGGCAGAGTCCCGCAGGGAATGAGTGAAGATGGAGCCCAGGGGCCAGCAATGAGGGACAGGGCTGGCTTCCCCCAAGTGGGCAGGTCTCCTGAAGCAGCCCAAGGGTCGGGGGCTCCCTGGACTGACGGTAGCACTGGAAGGTGGGGCGGCCCTGACTCTGTGAGGGGCTCGCCCATGGTCAGCAGGCCACTAGGCCTGACTCTGAAGGGCCCAGGTATCACTGGGCGATGAGCACTGAAGATCCCTGTCCCGTGCGCCCCCCCCCCCCCAGTTTCTCCTGTCCCCTCCTCCCTGCTTCCCGCTGTCCCTCTCCCCCTCTCCCTCTTCCTGTGCTTCCTCTCCTCCTTCCCTGCTTCCTCCTTCTTCCCCTGCCTCCCKCCTTCTTGTTCTCTGTCCCTTCATTTTTCAGGGCTGGGACTGTCTGAAGTCCCTGTGAGAGCAGGCGCCGCCCGGTGAGAACAGAGCACCCTGTGCCCGGCCCTGCGTCCTCTCGTCACCCTCACCCTGGAAAAGAGCCACAGGCTTTTCCACCAAGAACGGATTTTCTGGTTTTTACAAAACCTTTAGGGCTACAAGTGATTTTAGGGTGTACAGGGACCCTCTGGGCTGGAGCTAGTCTACCCCGTAAGCACCACATGACTTCAATTGAAAAAGCTGCCAACACTGAAGATCTGGGAGGTTCCAAACTTAAAACATCTGGATCCCTGAGCGCCCTGGAGACGCAGGGGACCTGGAGATTCTGGGCAGACCTCCTACTGAGCAGGTCAACCAGCCTGGGATGGCCACCTTCAGTGGACAGGGCACGCTTGCTGCCTGGCCACAGCTCCGCTGCCCGAGCTCAGCCAGGGACATGTGTGCTATTGGCAAGCATCGCACCTGTGTCCCCCAAGGTCCTGCTCAGGACTGGCCAGCAGGTGGCTGTCCCTAGCGCTTGCTTCCTGTCTATGGGCTAACTCAGCAGTAGCCTCTGGGTCTTTTGGCAGCAGGAGCTTGGCTCTGGGCTGCTTGTCAGCAGAGACAGTGGGCAGCCTTCACACCTGGCCATCATGGGCACTGCTGGGTCCAGGTGACACCACTTCCCTCCTCACCTTTCTGCCCAGAGCCACTGTGGCCCTTTGTGAATGGGGACAGAAGAGTGATCTGCAGGTGGATTCTGATGGCCACGTCTTTGTAGAACATGTTACCTTATTTCTGGTTTTATCCCAGGTGATTGAATAACCAGCCAATGAGGATTTCCCATCTCCAGAGTGACAATCTTGGGTCTTAGGGGTTCACGATGGAGGATGAGAACGCATGCTTCTGGGTGTTGCCTTTCTGGGTCTCCATGTGCCTGTGGGCAGCAGGGGGCAGTGCTGCTTCCCCTGCACCTGATCGGGCTGTGCCCATCTGTTCTCCACCTGCTAGGGAACTGACTCCGTCCTTGGCTTATATGTGGGGCTTGTACACATTGGAGGGACAGATGCAAGTGACGAATGCAGGCAGCGACCTCACGCGAGCAGGCGTGGGTCACCCTGTGGGTGGATCCAGGTCCTAGGAGGAGGCTCCAACCTTCCTCTGCACTGTGGCCTGMTGCTGCCCAGGGCCACTTCAACAGTGCAGTGGATATCAAGTGTGTTTTAAAGGTACACAGGACCTAAATTCAGAGGACAATAGTCAATGCAATAAGAATCTCCTTGCATGTGACACCCCGTTTCTCAGTTTCCTTATCCTCCCAATCCTGGTTTCAGTTTCCATGCAAGTGCCTCTCTCTCTTCTTCTCCCTCCCTGTCCTGAACACATGCATATCACAGTTACCTGTAGCTTTTCTCACTTGAGTTTTTAAATTAAATTTATTTGAATGGGACATAAAAAATGACAGTTGTAGTAGCGAAGGAGTACGATGTTGAGTACCAACACTCACACAGTGGACAACGATCTCCCCAAACGTTCATCGCTTCCTGTGGTGAGAGCATTCGGTCCTTTCTGAAGCTCCTTGAGGCACGTGGTGCTCGGTGCCGTTGCTAGCCCCGAGCCGCACAGTGGCACACGGGGACTTCTGCTCCTATCTGCCCACGATGATGCCGTATCTTCTTAACTTACAGTGTCAAGAGTGGTCCATGCACCTCAGCCTCAGCGGCATCCATCGTTGCTTGGATGTCCCTCGATTATTAAGCCAGCTTGTGGGTGAGCACTGAGGCTGTGGTCAGGCTTTTGACCCTGTAAGAAATTCCACAAGGAACACCCTTGCACACGGGTCTTGGATCACGAGTACCTACGTCTCTAGGATGAATCAGCGCACTAAGGGACAGTGCACTTGGGGTCTGTGTGGATGGTGCCAGATGGCCCTCCAGAGAGGCYGCACTGACTGCACCCCTGACACAGGGGATGTGCTGCTCGGTCCCCTCCCCCTCTTTTCTCTCGGGTCCAGTTCTGGCACACGTCTCGCTGTGGTTTGACACTTCTAAAGCTATTCGCATCTTCTTCTTTGAATTGCCTAGTTATGTTTGATGCCCAGATATTCTGTTGATTTGCTTTCCTTAAACAGCAGGAGGGTTTGCTGATTTGCTTGTGGTGCCGGGATGGAACCCAGGGCCCTGYACTCTACCCCCGAGCCACAGCCCTCGTTTGTAGGAGTTTTATTAGCATAATGAGTTTAACACATATAAAAAGAAATCAGCATGTTTCTGTCATGAATTATATAAACCTTATCCCCAGTTGGATCTAGTTCGATTTTTTTTTCTGCACAGAAATTTAAAAAATTAATGCAGTCAAATTTATAAGCCTGGAAAGCTTTCTATATCTGGTTTTATTGCACTTTAGTCTGATTCATCTAGGTTGCCTGGGTGCACGGAGTGGGGGAGGCTCTTGACTCTTTCCAAATGGCTAACTGCTTCTCATTCCTTTTGTGGAATGAGATTTCTCCCGATTTAAAGCACCAGCTTTATCCTAATCAGTGCCACCTGTGCCGGGAGCTCAGTGGCCCCTCCTTCCACTGAAGGGCAGACTGTGGCAGACACCACCCTGCTGTGGGGCCTGTCCTCTGCTGTCCCTGTCMAGTCCTGGGTATTCTGCTTACTTATTTGCTTATTTATTGGGTGGCGCTGGGATGGAGCCCAGGGCCCCACACATGCCAGGCAAGGGCTCCCCACTGAGCTGCACCCCAGCCCTTTTTCAGTTTTGCTTTGAGACAGGGTCTTGCTAAGCCACGGAGGCTGGCCTGGAACTTGTAATCCTCCTGCCTCAGCCTCCAGAGTAGCTGGGATCACAGGCGTGGCCACTGTGCTTCCCTTGTTCTTCTTTATTTTTTWAAAAATATGAGTTCCATAATCAAATTTCCCCTCACAAGAGAGCTCTCAGCACTTTCCCAGTATTTATAGATTAATTAAAGGGCAGCTGATATTTTTATGCTAATCAATCTGTTCTCCCCAGAGTAAGTCAGGCCTTCATTTGCTCAGGGCATCTTCATGAGAATCTTGTGTGATTTTAGTTCTTTTGTTCTAAAATGTTTTCTTTTCATTGGTTGCATTTAGACATGAGAACTTCTATTTTTTTTTTTTTTTTGTCTATTGTTGAAATACAAAAAGCTATCGGCTTTGTACATTACATTTGAACGAAACTCCTTGCTCAATTCCTCAATGATTTGAAGTAGTTTTCCACCCTGATTGTCAGGCATACTTCCCGTGACAGTGATGACCATTCTCTCCTCTTGGTGATGTTTCTTWGCAATGAAGAATATAAAGGTCTGTGTCAGTGGACGTCCAGGGTGCCTGCTGTAGCTGGTCATTTGGGCAGTAATTGCAAAGGACTAAAAGGATGTGCTCAGGGCTGCCCATGTTAGAGCCCACTGGAGCAAAGATGGGACCCTGACTTCTTTTCAGCTGGAGAAAGGTGGCCCATCTTGAGGGGATGTCACCTCGCTCTGTTATAACGGACAGGTGGAAAAGGATGACCAATTCCTTCACAGAGCCCTGAGAATAGACAATAATACATCCACCTAAGGTCCTGCTGCTCACAGTACTGGTTTCAGAAAGGACATCTGGAGGAAGCAGCTATAGGGGAAGGACCAGGACTGGATGAAGAGAGGCCTGTGTGTGAGCGCTGTGTGCTGGCCAGCACAGGTTGGAGCAAGAGGTTCCCCTACTAGGTGCAGAATGCGGTCATCCCACAGGTCATTGTTAGGTGTTTGCCAAGCACCTCGAGGGGGTCCTCATAAACACAGGGTCCTCTAAGCTTGTTTTAAGCTTGTTTCCTTCTGTGGTCCAGCTGCATCAGGTGCTATCTCTAAAGCCACRTTTGGTGACGGCATGAAGGACATTCTCGCCTTTTTCCTGATGCTAATGGGCATGGTCCTGGCTTCCCACTGTCAAGCATGAGCCGAGGCTGCTGTTCTCATGGGTTAAGAGGCCTCCATCCATGTGGCCTGCCTTGTCCAGTTAAGGAGCTAGTCATTGGTTTCTAGTTGAGTTCTTGTCCCTCCAAGTAGTTGTGTTGAACTGTATCAAATGCCTCTTCAGCCACGGGCTGGCCATGGTCCTCCGTCTCCAGGTCCTTCCCCGTCTCCAGGTCTTTCATTGTTTCAATGGTGATTTGRGATTTTGATTTCTTTTCCCCCAGGGTTTGCAGTCCTGGCTTCTGCTTCCCATTACTGGCCGTTGGAAACCGTGGATGGGATTCATGAACTTCAGGATACAACTGGAGGTAGACCTGGCCTGCGTGCCTATAGGAGGGAGGGGTGGTGGAGGCGGGGTCCCTGGAGGACAMAGGAGGATGGAGGTGGATGGCATCTGCTTGGAGCCAGATGATGCCKGTGAACCAGCATTTGTGCAGCTTTCCTGAGGATCATTGCGAAATATTTCCCTAGAATGTCTGTATCTTCTTACGAGGGAAGGACAGAATCTGTGATTCAGAACACGACTGAGATGTGCATTTACTCAAGACCTTATTGCAGGATTTCCTCGGTGGAGCCTCCTGAGTGTGAGGCCAGTACGTGTTTGCAGTGCAGGTGGCGTCAAGGCGTCAAGGTCTGGGCCACTCACAATGGGCTCACAGGTTGGAGGGCACTGTTTCACCAGGCAAGACTGTCCTGTCTACAGCCATGTCGTCACATACCCCAGTCAGTTCCCACAGAGATTAAATGTCACCTAGGATATGTCTAACGGTGGAGAGTGTCAGGATCTCTGGTTCACAGCTTGGACATCTGTTAGCAGGAGGAAACTGAGCTATCCCTGAGCACTTTCCCCATTCCAGTGAGAATTCCTCCTTAAGGCCCAAGTGTGAACAGCCRGAGGTAGCGTTCAGTTCACCTTGGTCTACTCATTGCTGGAGAGTCCACTGTGTGGCTGACGCACACGGCAAAGGCTGGCTATACACCCCGGGTAGGGCTCTAGCCATGTCCTAGCCAGTCCTGAATCCCCATGTGGCTGGCTGGCTGCCTCCTGCACCAGCACACAGCGATCTCCTTGTCCTTGTGACACTTGTGCTGTGGAAGTCGCTGCTTAAGGTCCTAAAACGCTTCCTCAAAACCTGCCTGTTGAGTGGCAGCAGAGCCAGTGTCTGCCCCTGGGCAAGATCAAGGRGAGGGGCCCTGAAGGGCACATGGCTGTGCAGGCCCTGTCCCCAGCCTGGCCTCCGCGCCGGCCCCCCCCCCCCCCCCCCCCCGCCTGAGCCTCCTGTGTTGGTCTGCACAGCAGGGACAGAATGTCCCTGTGCAGGTGTGAGCCCAGGTGGGCTCAGAGTGAAACAGCCACTTTCCCTGGTTACAGTCGAATGTGCTTTTCCCAGGGCCTTTGTTTTCAAGCTTTTGAAAAGCAGTCATCTCACCGAGTGGACATGGCTCATTTTTCAGGACCCAGCCACTAAAATTTCAGCAGTCATTTCAAACAAGAGCCTGAATAACCATGCATACATCTCTGTCCTGGTCCCCAAGCTCATTGCTGTAGGTTCAGTGTTCCTGGCTTGCACACCTTGCCTGCGAACACCCTCCTCGTGCAGYGGCCGTCACTCAGACATGAGTGACTCGGGGTTGGGTTCTACTCCCTGGCGTGTCCACTCCAACAGCACCTGCCCAGCCCTGGAGTGCATGGTCACAGCACGTCCCACCCCACTGGCCCGCTTTGTGTGACCCTGCTGTCGCCAGGCCCCTAAGGGACAGGAGGGGGAATAGGCACCCTCGGCACCTCGCTGTGGGGACACCACCCACTGTGACGTCTCAGGGACGAGCTGCTAGGCTGTTTGTGGCCGACCCCTGTCTGTGCCTTTGTCACTGTCTCACGTGGCTGTGTCCATGCTGTGTCCCCTGGTCCTGTGCCATTGTGACTGTCAGTGCTCCCTTCATCAGTGGCCACGTTCACTCTCATATCTCTCAACCATGTCCCCTGTGGGGCGAGGAACCAGCCCCTGGGGCCTTCGGGGTTCCTGGCTGGGGGCTCTGCGGTACCAGGCAGGGGCTGGGGGAGGGTGGGTGGCGTTGAGAGATATGTGGTCCCTTGTTCCTTGTCTCACTTATCTGTTGTCTTTCTCTTTTGTCGCCCGCCCAGCGCTGCAAGCCCACAACCTCACTGTGCTCCCTCCCCACAATTCCACCCTTGTGTTTGCCAATGACTCTGCCTACTCCAATCTCTCTGCGACCGTAGGTGAGCAGTGTCTGCTTCCTCCCAGGCTTTGATCTACAGTAAGTTCAAGGCCCATCCCCTCAATCTGCTGGACTCGGCTCTTGGCCAGCAAAGGAGCAGCTAGCCGAGTACAGGCTGAGACGGAGTCAGATGATAGCCAGGTGTTACAGGTGTTGCCAGGTGTGAGCCAGGAGTTAGCCAGGTGTTGCCAGGTGTGAGCCAGGGTTAGCCAGATGTTACCAGGTGTTAGCCAGGAGTGAGCAAGGTGTGAGCCAGGGGTTAGCAGGTATGAACCAGGGGTTAGCCAGGTGTGAGCCAGGTATGAGCCAGGTGTGAGCCAGGGGTTAGCCAGGTGTTACCAGGTGTTACCAGATGTTAGCTTTGTGTGAGCTAGGAGTTACTAGGCATTACCAGGGGTTAGCCAGGTGAGCCAGGTATGAGCCAGGAGTTAGGTGTGAGCCAGGGGTGAGCCAGGGGTTAGCCAGATGTTACCAGGTGATAGCCAGGTGTTAGCTAGGTGTAAGCCAGGTGTGAGCCAGATATGAGCCAGATGTGAGCCTGGTATAAGCCAGGAATGAGCCAGGTATGAGTCAGGGGTGAGCCAGGTGTTACCAGGTGTGAGCCAGGGGTGAGCCAGGGGACAGGAAGACCAGAAGGGTTGGGTCTGAGGGAGGAGCCCTGGTGTCTGGAAGGTGACCACAGCGCCATGCTCTCCAGTTCGATGTTTGTCTCAGACCAAAACAAATGATATCTTTTCTAAACACAGAAATAGAGTTTTCAAATGGATCGTATTTTGGGGGGAGAAAAAATCATGCTCTCTTCATGGAAAATTAAAGCTGGTTTGAGAACACCTCATCCCAAATTTGATCTCCTACCAACCTTAAGTTCAGTGACCTGAAGTCATGGGGAGCCGTCTCAGACACCCCGAGGGCCACGATTCAGTCCCTGTCTCATCTAACAACCTCCAGGGCCACACGCTCCGGTTTTCCCCACGCAGCTCACAGTGAGAGGGACAGAGACTGGCATTGCTTGGTGGCTGCAGAGGACCAGGGTTGATGGAGGGCAAGGAGGGCCTCGCCTTGATCTCTTTTGACACTTCACCTAATTTGGGGTGGTTGGCCTCCAAAATTAATTTTGCCAAGCAAACAGCCTGGTCAGGGCTTTATATGGCCCAACTTGGTAGGGCAGCTGTGAGTTGTCCAGCGCATGGGGTAAGACACAGCTCTCCTCTGGCAATAAATAGGAGAAGACAAAAAATGAGTGAGTCTAAAGGCAGAAAAGACAGCTCTGAGCCAGAGGAGTTCTCGTGATGGTGGCTGTTGGAGAGCTGGCCCGGGCCAGGTCAGTCAGGATGGCCTGTGCTCCAGGTGCACCGGAAACACACTTTCTCCTGCCTCCTACATAGGGAGGGGGGCCTGAGTACTGACCCCTGCCCACAGGTGCCATGGCCCTGGGTGTTTATAATCGTCACCCATCGGCTCCATAGGCCACTTATGGCATCAGACACCTTCATGATGGGAGCCATGAAGCAGGTGTCTGGGTAGAAAAGTGCCTCTGTGGGATTTGTGCCCCCTGGGACTATGCAGATGTCACCCTGGTGTCCCCTGGAGCATGGCCCCACAAGCTGTGGCTTCACACGTGTGGGACTAGGGCTCAGTGGTAGCTTCACAGATTTGTTAGAACATGCTTCACTGGGGAGTCAGTGCAGGTGGGTGGGGGGGCCTGCGGAGCACGCGGGTGCCATTGGTGCTTGGGGACGGGGACCACCACCCTCTGGCTCTGGTGGCCCAACATTGGCAAATGGTATAGGTACATTATCATGACGCTGTAATAAATAGGAGATGCCAACAGAACACAATTTCATAGGATGCAGTGACTTATTACCTAACATTTAGACTTATAAATTATTCATCATTTAATTACTAATAATTAAATATTAACAATGCTATTAGCACCCTAGAACAATGTGGGATGCTGGGCATGTGTATTGTGATGGTGGATATGGTGTGCATGTGTGGTGCTACCTGCAACCTCTTGGGCATCCTCAGACTTCCAGGCTCCGGGCTGGCTCATGTGTGATGCTGACCCTCTTGTTCCCTAGACATTGTGGAGGGGAAGGTCAACAAAGGCATTTACCTCAAGGAGGAGAGAGGCATGACGCTGCTCTACTACGGCAGGCTCCGGACCTCCTGCATCAGCAGCCCCACCCAGTGCGGCCCTGAGGGTGAGTGCCAGGCCTCTGGGTGCCGGTTTCCCCACAGGGCAGCACCTGCCCCTCTGGGCAGGACTGCAAAGGCCCACTAACTGCAGAATGCATGGAACGGCAAAGTGAGCTGGGGCATGGGGGATGTGGGCAACTTGCGTCCTGACMGGAGGCTGGTGCTGGAGGGCCCAGTGCGGGCTTAGAGAGCTGCAAGACCAAAGTGCCTAACCTAGTAGAGGGGAAAGGAGCCCTCCCTGAGACACAGGCCCTGACTTCACGCGCTGTGGTRTCTGTGGGCAGGAAATAGACAGCGTGGCTACCACAGCGTTATTTCTGGCTCTGGTCATGTGGGTAACGGGCCAGGCGGGGCGTGCCTGTTAACCCTCGTGCAGGTTTGCCTCTGTCAGGCCCAGGGAGGGTGGCGGGATGCTGGATGGGACTGTCCCAGCCCGTGGTTGCAGGCCTGTGCCTGCAGCAAGTCCACGTGTGCAAGAGGGAAACGAGGGCCCTTCCTGCCTGCTTCTCCCTGCAGCCTGCGCGTGCAGCCTGGCTCCACACGGCCGCTCTGGGCCGCACAGGAACCCTCAGGGACTGCCATCTGCCATCGTCCAGCCAGCTGGGGCCTTCAGGGTTTTCTTCCTTGAAGCAAAAGGAAAACGTCCATTTCTTGGGGGGAAGTTGACGCAGTCTCTGTGAGGCTCTGAGACTTGGGGGCAGAYGGCCTCAGGCGACGGGTCACTGCGTGGTTCTGGGAGACCACGCAATTCCCTAAAAATAAGCAAGTGCTRTATGAGCCACAGACATGAGGCGGCGGCGTTTTGGGCTTTGGGGACCTGGGATTGTATGGAGCAGCTCTGAAGTCGGCCGCTCAGCTGGGCGCACAGACAGTATGAGCTGGTCCTAAGTCAGACCTCAAAACACACCAGGCTGTTTGTCTCTCCAAACCCCAAACAAACCCAGGCCCAGTGACAGCAGCTGGCAGCCAGGAGAACAGAGTGTCCCTGCCCCAGGCTTGGGAGGCGAGGTCTGTGAGGCCCATCTGGCTTTCCAGGGAGCAGTTTCTATGGGGAAGGAGCCTCTCCGCAGATTGGGCTGCAGCATGGGATTTGCTCGGATTGGGGCTGAAAGGGCTGGGCCCAGGTGTCCTGTGACTGACATCATCCCAGGTGCCCACTGGATGGGAGATGGTGGCACCGAGGGAAGGGTGGCTTTTGGAAATCAGAATCCTGACAAGTTCCCCAACTCCAAGGCCAAGAACTAGAGGCCTTGGAGTGAACTTTGCCCTAGGTCCATGCACAGCTTGTCAGACGCAGGGTTAAAATTTTAATTAGCTGCTGACGTTGAAAAAAAAGAGACTTTTACCAGGCTYRGCACGCCTGCAATCCCAGCTACTTGGGAGGCTGGGGCAGGAGGATCAAAAGTTTGAGGCCAGTCTCAGCAACTTGCCAAGACTCTAAAAAATAAACAAACAAAACAACGATGAAACAAAACAAAACAAAACAAAACAAAACAAAACAACCCCAGAACAAATAGACAATGTCAAGGATTTCTGATTTTCTTGAGAAATTGCTTTATGTTGTGTCTCTGTCTCTAGACCACCATGGCCCCCTCCAGGCCACTGTCCTCAGCTTCCTGCATGTGACCTCAGCCAGGTTGGCAGGTTGGTATGTCCAGGGCTCCTGTCCAGGGCTGATCTTTTCTATGGTGGCCTGGGCAGCCACACAGCTTTGAGTGGACCTCTTTATCAGTAAACAGGTCAATGAGCTTCACCCCATGTGCCTCCCATGGTATGTGAAGACCAAGGGACAGACCGTGGCACYGGAGACCAGCCGTGGAGGGGCTGCTGGGGTCTGCAGCCCTTTGGTGGCGGCTCCAGCTTCTTTCTGCAGCAGGGTCTCTCCCCAACAGGACGGCCATCTTCCTGCCTTGGGGTCCCTCTGCCTCGGGCGGCCSTGGTTGGATTCCCCTGGCCCTGGCCCACCTGGAGCCTCAGGATGCACCATCCTGGTCACCCACACTTGGCTCTCGCTTGCTCAGCCCTGAAGAAGTGAGACGTCCAGAGCTGGAGTGAGGAAGAGCTGGGGCTTGCCTCACGTCCTGCCCTGGGGACAGCCTCCTGCCCTGGGACCATCTGGAGCCCTGGGGGGTGTCTCTCATCACATATGCACTTGACATCATGGCCAGACCCAGGAGGAAGCCAGGAAGCCTGAGGCAACTGTGTCACGATGCTGGCGAGATGGACGCTGGCTCTGGAGAGCTGGACTTTTCTCCCCGTGTCTGGATTTCGGCCTTGCAGAGTACCGGGTGCTGGGCCCACACAGCTTGCTGCACCCACACAGGGTGATGCATGCATTTCCCACTCACTGCTTTTGGTCAGGGGCTTTTCCTGGGTCCCAGGGACCCAAACAAGGTCATCTGCCCAGCATTGTCCAAATCAAAGTCTCACAGTGGGAGGGGTGCGAGGTTGTGTCAGGRGACTCTGGGAACGTGACAACCGAGGGCTGTGCTCTATTTTAACACGATGTCTCATGGAGATGTGTTTCCACGCGTCACTCAGGGTGAGATCATCAGGAGGGCAAACGTCCAGAGCAGGTGGATTTGACCGTATTTCATAATCATATGGGCAGTGTCTGGACACGGCGGAGGTCGCACAGTTAGGACTCGGAAGACGTGGACGGGCCCTTGGGGATCTGTCCAGCCACCCCCTCCACACTTGGTGGGGGACATGGAGTGACTGCCCATTATTCTTATAATAAGACCAACGTTTAAGGAGCGAGGACCCCACCCCAGGCCACTTTGCATTCCTCATTCCAGAGCCGGATGTCCTTTCCGCTTGTATTTTCAGCTGATTTTTAAAAAGAATGTGTTGGGAGGGGGTGAGGCACGAGCTCTCCAGAGAGCGGCCATCTGAGGAGCCTGGCTGTTCCCTGYGCTCTCAGTGAGAGGACGTCCTTCCCTCTGCTCCCACCCACGCAGCTCCTCCAGCATCTGCTTCCTGCATCCTGTGAGCCGTGGGGGGTTTGCCTCTTGGCAAAYGGGTTCCTCCGGGGGAGACTTCATGGCCACCAGCTGCTAAGTAGAGGAGCCATGGGGGCCTTGGAGAGAAAGGCCATGGGACACTGCTGACCCCAGGGATAGTCTGTGTGCCTTCACACCAGGGTCTCCTTCCACCTGCTTCCCGGTGTGAACAGGGGCTGGAAGGCCCCTCCCTGGGTGGTCCTGGCAGACCCATCACCTCTGCAGGCCCGCCAGCTCCTGGCTCCCAGGCAGGGACCTGCTCCTGGCCAGGTGCTCCTGTCCTGGGTGCCTGCAGTCCCTGGGCGTGTCCTCCCCAGGACTTGCAGTCCACAGGGCTGGTTGCTCAGGTCTCCCTTACATGGCCTTTGGCTCTGTGAGGACGGTGTCTCGGCCACCACTCCTCCGAGTGCCTGAACTCTGCACATCTACTGGACAGGTGCGTCCAGGCCGACCACCCTGCTGGTGCCTAGGTCTCTTCAGAGGCCTCCCGTCAGGTGTGCTGCCATGGGCCGTGGCTGCCACAAGGTCCCTTCCTCAGGCAGCAAYCTGGGGTGTCTATTGACTAGAGGGGGTGGCCCTACTGCTCATGCCAGGCATCCCCGCCACAGTGAAAGGTCAAGTGACAGTGAAGACAGGCACCTCCCAGCACGGAAGGGTCCACCATAGAGCTTGTTCCCGTTTCCGGGGGATCGACTGCTGTTGGTGATGGTGATGCTATTCGACAAGGAATAAACCACAACCTGGGTGACGGCCAGAGGAAGAGGAGGAGGAGGACCAAGAGGAAGAGACCACCTTGGACCCCTCTGACGTTGGAAAGCCRTTCCGGACACTGTGCCACATGCTATCTTGAGTGACTTCCATGTGGCCTTTGATCGGCTCAGCTGCAAGGGCTTCTGCTGCCTCCAGGAAGGCGAGTACCTGTGGGACCCCTCAGCTTTCCCTTCCTCCCTCTGTGAAGGTGTCCTGCTCTGTCCCCTGAAGATGCCCAGACCTTCCCMGGCTCTGACAGCGCAGGGCCTGCTGAAGCTCCGGAGCGGTGGCTAGAGGACCTCCCTGTGCACTTCCCTCTCTTGGGCCTCAATGACTCTCTTCCCTTTGCGTGAGGTCATTTAAAAAGCTGTCAGCAAAATGCTGCCCTTATTGCAGGGTGGAGACTGAGGATGGACTGGGGATCGCCAGCCCTGTGTGGACTCAGCTGCTGTTCTTCTTGGGTCTCTGGGTCAGGGGACCACAGTGAAGGAAGTGGTCCTCAGAGAAGATTTCATCCACTGTGCCCGCCTTAGAGATGGGGTAACTGGGCCCATGGCAGGGCTTTGGTGGCCACTAGCCTCGATGTCTCTGGTGCTCCTGGGTTGGCCAGGAGGCTCCCGACCCTGCAGTTTCTGCTGCCCACACAGGCTGGCTGGGAGGAGCTGGCAGGTGGTCACTCCATGGCGGAGAGACTCAGCCCTGGGGCGCTGCTCATCTGCCTCTCTGTCCTGCATGGAGCCCACACTGGATGGAACCCCAGAGTCCGGAGGTTCCCTTTGTGTCACCTGTGCACTTAACAAAGAGAGAAACTCGGATTTGATTCTAGGGAGCTTGGTCGACTAAGCCCGTCCAACTTTCCGAGAGGCACCGTAACCCTGGGTGACCAGGCCAGACCCCAGGTCTTTCTGGCCCAGAAACATTTTTTGTTACTTAAGGTGTTAAAAAATTTTTTTGGAGATAATTGTAAATCAATAAATGGTTGCAAAAAATAATGAGATCTCATGCGTCYTTCACCCATGTCCCTGGACGCCAGCATCTTGTATAACCACAGGACAAAACTAACATCCACTGACCTCATTCAGAACATACGAGCTTCACCTGCCCCTTTGAGGGTCTACAGGTCTTTGGAAGTGGCAGATTCGGAATGATTTGGGTTTCTTAAAAATTTCAGAACTTGCTATTGCTTCTTTGTCCAAGGTTTCCGGCTTCTGAGTGCTCGTGCACGATCGCACTCTCTCTCTCTCTCTCTCTCTCTGTTCTGGGGACTAACCCCTGGGTGCTCACCCACTGAGCCACATTCCCAGCACTTTTTATTTTTTATTTTGAGGCAGGGTCTCACTAAGTTGCTCAGGGCCTTGCTAAGTTGCTGAGGCCGGCTTTGGACTTGAGATCCTTCTGCCTCAGCCTCCTGAGCTGCTGGGATCACGTGGCCCTTCCACCCAGCCTGGCTCAACAGTGTCTCTTTTGGCTATTTTGTCATGAGTCTCAAAACTCTGTGGGTACCGAGTGGACTTTGGTCTGTGCATTTCTGGCCAACCCTGTTGTCCACTCCTGACGGTCTGTCTGCAGTGCACRGAGCTCTCCGGGCACTAGCCCTCTGCCTGGGTCCTATGGCTTCTGCTGGGAGGCCAGGCTGGCAGCTAGGGGGTCCTATGACATTTGGCCACTGGTGGCCTCTGCCCCTTCATGCTAGATTTGGGCTGGTCACTCACAGCCCACAGGCCGGGGCAAGGAGCACTCCACAGGCTCCCTAAGAGGTGAGTGGCTGAGCCTCCATGTCTACAGCAGTGGAGAGCCCTTCTCTGCCTGGACACTGTGGCAGGCTGACAGGCAGCCCTCCAAGAGGCCCAGGTGCTCATGCCCTCAAGCTGGGACTGGCTGTTTTGTTGGGAGGATGAAGAGTTGGCACTTGTGGAGGTCATGGGGGAGCCGGCCAGCGCCAGGAAGTGGTCCCTGGATTCTGGGGATCACACCTTGAACGTACAGCACTGTGCACATGAGGAGGGAGCGGCCTTCTCGTCTGCTAGAAGCCATGTAGACCTGTCCCTGCACCATTGGCTATGTGGGGCACACGTGGCAGACATTTCTGCCACCTGCCACATCTGATTCCCGGGTTTTGTTGGCCGTCCGTCTTGTTGAAGGCCTTTCTTTGGTRTCTGGATGGAGAGGCACCCAGGGCTCAGCAGTGTGGACTTCCCCTGTCAGCACCCTGCTCCTCTCTGGTGCCATCTGTTTTCCCTCCTCTGGACCAAGTTCAAGACACGGTCCCCCACGTGGCACTCTCAAGGTCACTGTGCATCTTTTCAGACCTCTGGAGATGCAGTCAGAGGTTGGATCAGGCCCTACCGGGCTGGAAGCCAGGCCGAGCCAGCTGACATGAAAGGCTGGCCTCCACCACGGGCCTTCCGCCYACCCTGTGTCCCCGGGTTCAGCGCCAACCTACGTTTCCATCTTAATTTTTATTACCTGACCCTTACCTGACACTGTGTTGAATTTTTTATTTTTATTTTTATTTTTCTTCTGGCCAGAGAGACATTAGGCCAAGACAGGATTATTTTTAATTGAGTGAAAGGAATTTTTAAATGCAGCAAGTTTTTGTAAAAAGATTGACTTCTGTGAATTCCACTGGGAATACGTTTCATAACAGGAATTTCACAATGTGCTGTGCTCACTTCCCTGTGAAATTGGCTGTTCCTGAGCGCAGAGACACAGGCAGGCTGGGGTTGGCGCTGGCCTCGGAGCCACCACAATGCAAGGCAGGCTGGGGGGGAACAGCTGGTCTGGCCCCAGATCCCTCCTCTGCCATGCCCCAAGGTACAGGGGTGAGTGTGGATGCAGGCCAGGCCTGATGTCACCACACGCTCCTGAAGTGGCACCTCCGTGATGGGGACAGGTCACGGGCGTCCCCAGGGCTCTGCTCTGCAGTACCCTCCGTGGCTTAGGCTCCACGCTGGCACCTCCCAGAGGTCCAGGAAGGCCTGGGTCCCCTTCGGCTTTTGAGATTCTTCTTTTTAAAAAACACACTTTTGGTCATCACATAGCAGTTGTGCCTATTTACAGGGCACAGTGAGATCTTCCAGGCATGTGTATGGCGGGCACTGAGCAGATCAGGGCAACAGGTACCTCTGTCACACCACAGGCTTGTCATTTCTTGGGTTGGGGACGCTCCAAATCACAAGGTTTCCTCTTCTGTGAAAAAGTACAAAGAAGAAATTCCAAGCCAGGGTGATAAAAATCATGYTGTTTCCTACATTCCTATCGATGGCGTCGGCCTGAACCCACCGTCTACAGAGCAGGTCGCCCTCACAGGCCTTTGGAGGAGTTGCCTCCATGTGCTGATCCACAAGGCATTGCCCAAGTGTGGCAGTGGAGGACGCGGGTCATACAGGTGATCAGGGGCTCTCAGAACTGTGTCCTCAACCTTATCTGAAGCTAGACCTAAAGTGACTTTGTTGCCATTTATATAAATAGACCCAGTACAAGTGCAGCCCCCTGCTTAGCCTAGCCTGTTTCCATCAACCCTGGGCAGGTCACAGGCACGCTGTCACCACAGTGCTGTCCAGCAAAGAGGGACCAGGCAGGCGGCTCAGTCCACCTTACATCGAGTCCAGCAGGTGGCCAGCTTAGCAGACATGCACACGCCACCTACTTCTGTTCTCGAACGCCAGGGAAGGCAGGCGGGCGGAGATACCTGCAGGCAGAGGAGCAGCAGAGGGGGAGAGGCYGCCAGCTCCACAGCGCAGCCCCGGGAGGCCTCAGTCCAAGGGTCCACCGGCTGGAGCCACCATGGCCCTGGGCCAGGGCCACCCAGACCTTCCCTGTCAAGGGCCGCTGGACTTCAGGTTCAGTCTGCGTCTAGGGAGGGAGGGACAGGTCCTCCCTGTCCAAGCTCCTGCACACCAGTGCCGGGGACAGGGACCACCCAGTCCAGCACGGCGTCCGGGCTGGACTTGCTGCTGTGTCTCTACCAGCCTCACAGGTTCAACCCTTGGACTTGAGCTGCACAGACAAGGAAACCCTAGAAGCTGCTTCTAGGCAGCTGAAAGAAAGTCCCGGTTGGGATTTACCCTAAAGGCATAGAATTTGAGGTATGGGGGGGGGACTAGCTTCCACTTCTATTTGGATTATTTCTTCTAAAATTTGAAGAAAACTCTAAGACTCAACAGTGCGGCTGTTTAAAAAAGCTGTGAGTCCTGGTTAGGATGTGGCACAGCTTGTACATAAAAATGACGGGCGGAAGAGTGTTTACGGATGGGAGGATGCTCACAGGTGGTCAGCTCCTCCAAGAACGAGGTTTATGAGTGCATGCATGGAATGGATCCTTTCTCTGCAAATTCGTTTCTGGCGGAGATTTTGGGGGAGCTCCGCGCCATGGGTCTGGTGAAGAGGAGGAGCCCAGGCTGGTATGTATTTCTGTCTGTGCCGAAAGTTAGGCCGCTTTTGATCTTCATTAGCCACTGGGTTGGTGGCCTTGGGCAAACTGGCCTCAGTGGCCTCTGCTGTGTCATGGGGGTGGCAGCAGGRTTACTGCACTCTAAAAAGAGGCAATTCAGCTGCGCTAATTCAGATGCACGTCTGTGATCTCAGTGATTTGGGAGGCTGAGGCAGGAGAATCGTGAGTTTGAGGCCAGCCTCAATAACTTAGTGAGATTCTACCTGAAAATAAAGAAATTAAAAGGGCTGGGGTATAGCCCAGTGGTTGAGCACCCTTGGGTTCCATCAGAAAACAGAAAAGGAGGTAATTTATATGAAACATTTAGAAAAGTGCCTGGCATCCTGTGAGCCCTAACAGATGGCGCTGAGAGCACCAGGTGCTTTCTGGGCTCTGAGCAGCTCTTCCCTCGTCCTTCCACTGACCCATCCTTCTCTCTCCTCAGGGGTCACATTCTCCTTCTTCTGGAAGACGCAGGAAGAACAGTCCAGACCCATCCCTTCTGCATATGGGGGACAGGTCATCTCCAACGGGTTCAAGGTCTGCTCCATAGGCGGCAAAGGCTCCGTGGAACTGTATACACGTGAGAATTCCATGACCTGGGAGGCCACCTTCAGCCCACCGGGTGAGTGTTGGCATGGACCCAGTGACAGCCAGGCAGGACAGCCTGCACAGCGCTACTCCCCACACGCGTGCCCTGGGTTCCCGGTGTGGTGCGTGGTGACGGTTGCTGCTGCATGTTCCCACACACAGATACAGTAGTGCAATGTGGCAGCTCGGCTCCCCAGCACCTCCCTCCCTCCCCCTCTGTCTTCGTCCACTGTACTCTATTGACCTCCCTTGAGTTCTGTGAGACCCCTCCCTACATTTCCCCTCCTGTTTCCTCCCCAGCTTCCTCATATGGGGGAAAACATGTGAMCTGTGACCTCCTGAGCCTTGTTTATTTTGCTTGACATAATGCTCTGGGTTCTACCCATTTTCTTGCAAATAGCATGATTTCATTCTTCACGGCTGAAGAAGATCCATTGTGCATCTCACCACACTTGATTTTTTTGGGGGGGGGCTTCTAATTAATTTATTAATTAATATTAAATGAATATATAGGGGTAGGGTTGTAGCTCAGTGGTAGAGTGCTTGCCTCCCATGCACGAGGCCCTGAGTTCAATCCTCAGCATCACATAAAAAWAATAATAATAATAAATAAAAATAAAGATATTGTGTCTATCTACAACTAAAAAATTTTTTAAAAATGAATATATAAAACATAACATTTTCATTTTCATCTGTTGTAAGCATACAATTCAATGACATTAAATACATGAAATACATTCACAATGCTGTGTGACTATCACCACCATCTAGCCCTAAAACCATTTGTTATTTTTTTTTATTAATTAATGAATTTATTTATCTTCATTAGGCATATATGACAGAAGAATGCATTTTGATTTATTGTTCACAATTGCAGCAGAGCTTTTCATTTCTCTGGTTGTACATGGGGTAGTGTCACACCACATGTGCAGTCATACACATATCTAGGGTAATGATGTCCGTTTGGTTCCACCATCTTTCCTGCCCCCATCCCCCTCCCTCCTCTTTGCCCAATCACAGTTCCTCCATTTTCCCCATGCCTCACCTCATTATGGATCAGCATCCACTTACCAGAGAGAGCATTCAGCCTTTGGTTTTTTGGGGATTGGCTTACTTCACTTAGCATGATATTCTCCAATTCCATCCATTTACCTGCAGATGCCATGATTTTATTCTYTTTTAATGCTGGGTAATTTCCATTGTGTATCTACACCACATTTTCTTTATCCATTYGTCTATTGAAGGGCATCTAGTTTGCTTCCACAGTTTAGCTATTGTGAATTGAGCTGCAATGAACATTGATGTGGCTGCCTTACTATAGTAAGCTGACCTTAAGTCCTTTGGGTATAGATCAAGGAGTGGGATAGCTGGGTCGAATAGTGCTTCCATTCCAAGTTTTCAGAGGAATCTCCACACTTCTTTCCAGACTGGTTGCACCAATTTGCAGTCAGGGGCTCCTTCTTCAAGAGGCTCCCTGGGCAGGTGACCAGGAGGGCAGGCTGTGCCTCTGGCAAGCAGCTTCCTGCTGGGTCAGACCTGGGCCTGCAGCCCTGAGYAGGAGCTCTGGCCTCATGCAGGTGGTTGCGGGAGGCTGGGTTTCCATGTCAGTACCAGGGGACCGGGTGACCCTGCAGGTGCTCAGCTGTGGCAGGGGTCCTGATGGAAAGTGGTGAGCTGAGGGCGGGGGTCAATCCCCCTCCTGCCCCCACTTCCAGGTTTACCAGGTGGTGAGAGAGTGTTTGGGGTGTAGGCTGCAGATTCAGAGAGCAGGGGTGGGGGGCGGATGTGGGGCACTGGGTGGCAAGTGGTCTTGGTGAAGGAGGGAGGGTGGGAGTCAGCAGAGGGGCCGAGCTCATGGCTGGCAGAGAAGCCACAGAATTTCTGCTGGGGGGTTCTCAGTTTCTCTGTCATGGAGTTCACCTGCAGGGCCTGAGGTCACAGGTGTGGGCGGGGGTGGTGTGGGGAGGCTGGGGAAGGCCTGCAGTGGACATTGGAGAAGGGGAGAGGTAACCTGGTCCTCTGGAGGACTTCAGGGTAGTGTTCAGGGAGGGCCCATATGGAGGCCCCAGAGGGCAGGGCAGAGGTTGGGATGGTGACCCAGGAAGGCCTAGGCTGGTGCTCTKCCCAGGAAGTGACAGGTTTGCAGCACTCAAGGGGAGCCCTGACTGGCCTAATGGAGGGAGGGCATGTGGCCCACCAGACTCTGGAGCCAGGCAGCCTGGGCCAGGTCTGGGCCCTGTGCTTGTAGCCACGTGAACCTGGACACCTTCCTACCCCACCTGCTCCCTCAGTTTTCTCATTGCAATGTGAGTGACAGGATTGCTTCACAGGGAGCCTGAGCCCAGGGAGACAGAGCCTCCAGGGAGTCCATAGGCCCACGGGCCCAGAGCCAAGGGGCGCGGGGCCTGGATGTGTCCGCCTGTGCTTGGGAACGTGGGGAGCATACGCTCTGAATTAGCTCCCAGACCCCCTGGGCAGGAGACTTCCAGCTYTGCTCCACACAGCACCGTCTGAACCTTGTCGAGAGCTCCCACTGCCGCTGTCTGGGCTTCAAATCTCAGCACCTCATCTCTATGCCCTTGGACTGGTGGGACAGACAGAACCAGACACCTAGCAGGTTCTTTGAACTTGAACTTGAACGTGTATTAAGATGAACTCAGCCCTTCCCCCAGGGAAACAGGACTGTAAACCGCCCTGCAGGGCAGCGTGCTCTTCACTGGGTCATCGCTGGGATTTGTCCTTCTCACTGTGGAACCCAAGGGCAATGACACCTTGGGCCTGTTTGGGATCCAAGTGTCCAGAGGCTCAAGATTATCAGAAGGTTGCACAATCCTGAGTGAGAGGCCCTGATGTACTGCTGGGTGAGGTGCAACCAGCGGGCAGGAGGACGTGTGTCCAGAGGACAGCCAACCATGACATGGTGGTTGACCATCCATGTTGGACGCAGCTTCCTATGGCTGAGCACGGCCCACATGCCAGGGTAAAGGGCGCCTGGAGGCTCACTGTGGAGCTGCCCAGGCAGCCAGGAGGCTGGTCTTCCTGCCACATCATGGCCACGTCACGGCCACGTTGGCTGCTGTCACACATGCTGCGTCAGAGATGAGGGGGCTGCCCAGGGCGGGGGCTGAACGGGGACTTCAGATGCTTCTGCGGTCCCATGCTGGGCTGCTTAGGCCATGTCTCTAGAAAATGTTTTGAACAGTTCTGGGTCTRACCATAAGTTGTGATTTAATTTTAGAACTAAGACTTCCCAACCTCTCTTGGGAATAAAAAGGGGCCATGGGGGGCTTTGTTCTTGTGCTGATGGCAGGTGGGGTATGTGGGGGCTGCCTCCTAGCTGCAGAAGTCACCCCTCACCCTTCTGTGCCCTGCGGCCGGCCCAGAACCAAGTCCTCAGGGAAAGCAGGGTCCCCCTGACCTTCTCCCAGCCTCTCTGCAACTCTGCTGTGCTGTTTTTAGTGGACTCCTGTGTTTCCCACCCTTTAAGACCCCAGCACAGCCAGGTGTGGTGAGAGCCACATACCTCCTGTCCCCAGGCACCCCACTGTCACCTGCTCTACAGAGGGGCCTCACTGTGACCACGAGCCCACGGCGCCATGTCATGGTCGCCCCAGCCTGTGGTCCACCTGGGGGTCCACTCCTGGTGTTGGACACCCTTGGGGCTGGTGAGGCATCTATCCAGACCTTGGGCCTGTCCCTGGGTGGGTGTCTTCTCATGGCTGAGTCACAGCCRTGCATTGTGGGTAACAGTGTCTGTCATGTCTTTTGCAAGCCCTCCTCATGATGCTGTCTCGCAGAGCGGAGGTCTTTAAAGTCTTGGTGACGTCCAGCTGCCGTGGATTTTGTCCATGAATTGTACCTTGGTTCCACAGCAAACAGCCGTCACCAGACTCAGGCTCGTCCCCTGTTTCTCCTGTCATTTCCAGGAGCATCACAGTTTTGCATTTTGCTTTCAGGCCTGCCGTACATCTTGGATTGATCTTTTCTGGGTTAGAGGGTCTGGGTTTATTCATTTTTACTTTTGCACTGAGTGCCCAGCGGTCTGGTGTCACTGGGTGGAAAGGCCAGCTTTGCTCGAGGGTATTACCTTTGCCCTTTTGCTGAGTGTTAGTGAATGGCCAGTGCTGGTCCTGCCCAGGGCTATCCACCCTGTCCCCTGCTTGCCTTTCCTGCCCAAGCCGCACCTCCCTGCCTGAGTACTGCGGCTCTTTAGGGAGTCTTCAAGGCAGGGGGGTCAGTCCCCCAGCYGTTTTTCTCCCGACTCTGTGGGGCTCTTCTTGGCATTTCCTCTTTATGGACTCTAGGACCAATTTGTTGCTATCCAAGAAATCATTTGCTGGGGTTTTCCTGGAATCTACAGAGCAACCTGACGGGGAGAACTGACCTCTTGCCAGTATTGAGCCCACCTGTCCATGGACATGAGAGGTCTTTCTATTAGTTTAGTTCTTGTTTASTCTCTTTCATTGGCCTTTTGTAGTTTTCCTCAGATCTTAGGCWTTGCTTGTCAGACTTATACCAAAGTATTTCTTCTTCTCTTCCTTTTTTTAAGGGCCAATGTTAATGATCCTTTTTTTTTTTTTAAATTCTACTTGTCCTTTTCTTGAGGACAGAAAGGCGCCTGATCTGCTTGTTCACCTGTACTCTGTGATCTTGCTGTAATCAGGAACCATTTTCAGGAGGTTCGTTTTGTATTTGTTCTTATTCTTCGGGGTTTTTCTTTGTAGACAGCCATGCCATCTGCAAAGATGATTCTGTCACCCTTCTCAACMTGCAAGCGTGTATCTTTTCTCTCTTGTCTGTGACATTGTCAGTGCCACCCAGGRTGCTAGAGGTCCTGTGAGCAGGACAACCTCCCACCCTTGCTCCTGAAAGGCTGTGTTTTCAACTGGGTTCTGGGTCTGATTGACAGGTGCTCGTGTTCTTCATTTTAAAACTATTTTTTCCCTTTTGCTTGTGGTCACTTAGGTCAGTGACTCCTGTGTTAAAATGGTGAATCTCTGGACCTGCTTTGGGGATTTGGGGAGGGAGGAAAAAGGGCAATTTCTTCCCTGTGCTCCACAGGGCTGATGGAAGTCGGGTCCGTGAGGTGGCCTTTTTTAGGACTGGCCAGGACCAGCAGTGACAGTCATCAGGAAGAGGGTGCGTGTGGCAACAGAAAAGATGCGTGTGTGGGGCGCTCGTGCCCACGGTGCTCAGGATGCTGTCTTGGCTCTTCTCCAGGTCCCTACTGGACTCACGTCCTCTTCACATGGAAATCCAAGGAGGGCCTCAAGGTCTACATCAACGGGACACTGAGCACCTCTGACCCAAGTGGGAAGGTGTCTCACGCCTACGGAGAGCCCAGTGCCAATCTGGTGATTGGGTCTGAGCAGGAACAGACCAAGCGCTACGAGAACGGGGCCTTCGACGAGTTCATCATCTGGGAACGTGCCCTGACCCCATATGAGGTGGCCATGTACTTCACAGCTGCCATAGGTCAGTGAGCTCGATGGTGTGGGCAGGCCTGGTGTGTGCTCCAGGCACCCCTGGCCCTCCTCCCTCCCCAGCCTTCCTTCTTCCTCAGCCGTCCTCCCCTCCCCAGCCGTCCTCCCTCCTCAGCCTTCCTCCCTCCTCAGCCGTCCTCCCCTTCCCCAGCCCTCCTCCCTCCCAGCTCTCCTCCCTCCTCAGCCCTCCTCCCCTCCCCAGCCCTCCTCCCTCCCAGTCTCCTCCTCAGGTGTGAGGTGCGCCCCAATGAACTGTTCCAACCCAGTGCTTTCTAAAGCACCTGTTCCCTAAGATAAAGTGGTTAACAATTTACCAGAGGCACACTGAGGCTGTGTTCTCCTGGGTCACAGGGTGCGTGAGAGGATGGCTGTGAGAGGCTTTGGAGAGCAAATATTCCAGGCCCATCACTGTATTTGCCCAAGAACCACCTCCCACGTGCCACATTCCCTGATGGGCCCTGGAGCCCCCCAAATGCCCTCTTCCTGTTTGGCACACAGTGGTCATTCAGCACAGTGGCCTGTATACCTGGGCTCAACTCTCCCCTCTGCCTTGGTGAGCCATGAGACATTGGGAAGTCGCTTTTTTAAAATTGAGGTGACATTTACATAGTGTCAGCTAACCGTGTAAATGTGGACAATTTAGTGGCATTTGGTAAGAGTGTGATGTGTGCAGCCACCATCTCTGTCCAGATATCTGTGTCCCCCCTAAAGGGAGCTCCTGTCCCTTAGGCAGAGTCTCCCCTGCCCGCTGCCAGCCTCAGCCACCAGTCTTAATCATGCAGGTCACAGCTTCCTACCTGCACAGTGGGGGAGGAGAATGCCACCCCCACCGAGTGCCACATGATGTAGCAGGGCAGGGTGTGCAAAGCCACTAGCTGGACGCCCATGTGGCAAGGCCTTGATGTTAGCACTCAGCTCGTGCTAGAATTGTCTCTCCCTGTCGGTCACGATTTCACCTTGTTGGTGCCCACAAGCAACATGCTGTTTATTTCCACTCAGAATGACCTGCCAAGAGGCAGCGGTCACCACACGTCTCCCTCCAGCAACCTCATCAGAAGAGGRGGTGTCTGCTCCTGTCCCTCCTGCAGCCAGGCTGGCCTGACTCTCAGTGGCTGAGTTGATGTGTGTGCCTTCTGTCAGCAGGACTGTGGTGGGGCTGCGGGAAATGCTGACTGAGACACTGTCCACTCTTGATATGGCAGCACGGCCAGCCTTATCCAAAACACACGTGGAGAAGGGACCCCCAAGGGACAGTCAGGGTGCTGGTYTCAAGAGGGATTGGATGCCATGCAGCACTGATGGGTGTCCAGGGCAGCCTCCCAGTCCTGCCTTCCAGTGTCCTCAGAGGAAAGGGGCATTCGCTCACTTGCACAGAGAGGCCCAGTGGAGTGTCCAGCAGAGGAAAACATCACTGGTCTCTGCCCATTGCCCAGGACGCAGACAGCTGTCACTGCGAGAACACCGTGTCATGGAAGACCTCAAGCCATCTTCCTTCCTGACCGTTTGCTGGTTGGTGGCCTCGAGAAGAGCCTCTGCTGTCCCTGGTTCCCCTAGCTGTGGCAGCAGCCCTGGGCACCGGTCATGTCTGGGCTGGGTCCCTCTGGTCCTCTGCACTTGGAATAGAGGATGTCCCATCCTCGGGGGGTGCAGAAGAGTTGCTGGGTTAGCTGGCCTCCTGGAACACAGACCCTGTGCCCGCCTGAGCCAGGCTGGAGCCCCCGGGATACCGTTCCACCTGGCCATCTGGTCCTGTAGAGTGTGAGTGGGAAGAAGGACACCGGCTGCCCCTGGAGGCCCTCTGTGGGGACTGACATGCCGTTGCCGTCCAGTTCAGTTGGGTCAGGGGAGATGAGTCCAGACTGGGGCTGAGCAGAAACCCAGCCCGAGGGCACTGAGGCCACAGGAGCTGGGGACAGCACTCTGTGCATGAGAATCTGGGTGTTCCCGCGGCTCTGCCAGGCCACAGGTCCTGGAGAGGACCTTTCTCCAAGTGCCTGGAGAGGACCTTTCTTCAAATGCCTGTCCAGATGAGATGGCTTCTTCCAAGCCCATTAGCTGGGGCAGGTGCTGTTTTCTGACTGATTGGTCCAGATGGGGTGATCTTTTCTCATTCGTACAAAGGCAAAGTGTTGTCACCCTGGAAGGTCCCCACCCCGGCCACCAGAGTGGGCGACAGCTCCTCTAGAGATGGGCAGAGGAAGCGGAAGGCTGTGTTCAGAGCCGTGTGAGCTGAAGGCTCCTGTCTACCTCCARTGGGATCCCAGAGCACACCAGGTGCTCGCGGGATGCGGGTCACTGGGGCTGAGCTGGGCTGAGGACACGGCTGAGCCCCTTTCCCCTCTGCCTCTGGTGCTCACCTCTCGTGGGTGTGGGCAGGTTTGCAGGTCTGCAAGGGTGACTCAGGTCACCGAAGCCACCTTGAGGTCTGCTCCAGCAGTGAAGTTGAATGTGTAGTGCTCTGTCCCCAGCAGGAGGCGCTGGGGTTGGAAGTCAGTGGGGGGTGGAGGACCACAAAGCCTGGCCCCTCAAGTCTGGAAGGTCCTCCATATGCAAGGCCTTGAGCACAGGGCCTGGGAGCCGTCTCCCCCTCCAGAGGTCCTGGCTCACTTGTCCCTTGGATGAAGCACTCTGTCCCAGCCCTGAGACTCAGTCATGTCTATCGCTAACTCGTCTGGCGCAGTTGAAGCCTATTTTTCATTCTTTATTTCTTTGAAGTCAGTGACGCCTTGCCTAAGATCATCTCTTCCCGTGATGATGGGCGTGAAGGGTGATCAAAAGCAACTTAGAATCCAACAGTGGCAGTGTGGGCTGGGAGACCCAGATCCCACCTGATCAGCAGCTCATTGGCCCTTTGCCTTCCCAGCCGCATTCCCACCGGAAACACCCCCAGCCTCTCTCAGATGCATCTCAAGCTGCTAAACTTGGGGATAAAGACAGACCTTCCCTGGGGTGGGAAAAGGGGCGCCRTCTTTGTCCTTATTAAGCGTCACTTACTTTTTCTAGGAAAGCATGTCTTGTCGACCTCGGCCCCGGGCTTCTCTGTGACACCCACAGCAGGCACCATGGTGAGCAGGTGCACTTACTTTGCTCCTTGGGGGGTGTTTCTGTGTGGGCTGGGTGCCAGGAGGGATGAGTTCCATCAGATGACCTGGGCTCTTCCTTGGTGGCAGTGTAGTGTCTGGGAAGAGATCATTGACACAGGGAARCCAACTTTGGGGCTCTTTCTTGGTGCTCATGGTGACGGAGGAGAAGACAACCCCTGGTTCCTGCTGCCAGTCACTGCAGGTGCCTAAAAGGAATGACTAAATGAGATTCTCAATTAGTCTCTCTCAGAGCAAATGGCCCCGAGGTCCCCTACTGGGCAGTGGGAGCCGCCCCCCTGCGGAGCTCAGCTTCCCTCTATGACTTTTCTTTGCTGTCTGAGGGAAGCTCAGCCAGTAATGAGGGTCCCTCTAGAGCCACCACTTGACACTAATAGACTCCCTGAGCTTCCATGTTCCTGACAGCATGCCGACTCTGAGCACCCACCTGGGGTTCAGGTCTTGGGAGCTTCGCCTCTCGGGGCTTAGCTCCGTCTGTCGAGTGGCTCCTGATTCAGGAGGAAGCTGTGAGGGGGACATGCCCCCACGTGCCATAGTTCACAAAAGGGCCTGGCATGTGGGAGGTGCCACGTGGGACCAGGAACCCTGGGCTTGCCCCGAAAGGCGAGGCCTCCATTCTCGGCAGGAGCTCATGTTGCCAATTTCTTTCAGACGCCCACTGATGCCTACCATCCCATCATAACCAACCTGACAGAGGAGAGGGAACACTTCCAAAGACCTGGAGTCGTGCTGAGTTACCTGTACAACGTGTCCCGCAGCTTGCCCAGCAAGTCCCTCTCGGAGGACACAGCACTGAACCTCACGGAGGTGAGTGCTCTGATGCTCATTTGGGCGGCCCAGGGCTGGAGCACAGCCACACCACGGCCTGCAAAGTGAGGCCAGAAGCTTTCACATGAGGCCTGGACTTCCAGCTTCCCATGTGCGAGCAGATGGGGTGCCGCTCTGGCTGCCCGTACACAGTTCCAGGGGCCTGTGTTTCATTACCCAGTGGGTTGTCCTGCTCCGTCCTGAGCCCGCCTGGCCTTTGGAGACATTTGGGTCTGAACGCCTGGTCTAAACTCTGCCACCTCCTTGGTAACAGGTGAAAGTTGGAGCTGGGTCTTTGGGGATTCAGCCGGGGGCCATAGGTCACAGGCCACAGTCTGCACATTGGGAATTCCCAAAGTTACACAAAGCACTCAGTGAATGCAACATTTACAGCATGAAAACCAAGATCCTTAYTCTTTGTACCTTGGTATACAGTAAGCACTGCATAAGTACTAATCTTTCTTCTGTATGGATTGAGCTGGGCTACAAGAGGTCACTCTGACAGCTGGTGCCTTGTATGCAGCTGGTGCCTMATGAACATCTTGATGAGCCTTCCCTGCCCTCATGTGGCAGTGTTTCCCATGAAGGGTCCTCAGAGGTGTGCAGCAGGCACTTAGCTGGGGTCTGCTTGTTTCGGGATGTCTAGGGCAGGGGGAACTCAGCGGTGGATTCATCACTTAGACATTTATGTGCTAAATGCCTGCTGTGCTGGTTGAGTTCACTAATCATGAAATGGACTCTGAATGAGCCACCACTGCCTACCCTTGAGCAGGCTGGCYAGTTAGCAAGCACCTGTGGACAGCTCCATCCGCCCAGCCTGGGATTCTTGAGGGCTGAGCCTGGCTTTGCCCTGCCTCCATGGGGCTTGCAGCCCGGGACACGGCCAGTCCCAAGAACTGTCCTGGGATGCTGGTTTGAGGGTCCCCCCCTACCCAAACCTTCTGGCCTGGCCTTACGACCTGCTGGTGGATAATTGCAAGTCACTGCGGTGGCAGCAGGCAAATGGGTGACTGTGGCAGGTGCAAGCTGTTACTTCTATGAGCCGCGTGGGCCAGGGAGCTGCTGCAGGGCTTCAGAGTGGTGGGGGGAGCTGCTGGGTGGCTGGCAGAAGTGACGAGGGACGAGGGCCAGGCCAGGCAGGCGAGCACTCTGTGCTGAGCCCAGTGTGGGGCTGCAGGACATCGATGGACACGTAGCTCCATGGCCTTTAACAGGTGTGTGTTTAGAGTAGGGAATTCAGCGCAGGTCCTCTTAAGAAGCACTTCCATTTCAAGCTTGGAGACTTCCTGTCTGCCTGCTTCTTCCCTCGCCGCGCCCCCGCTAAACCTCACAAGCCAGAGAAGCTCAAGTGGCTTCAAGGACCAGACGATTGAAGTGGGTGGGCGGCTGGTCTCACCCAGCTCATCTGCAGCCACCTGATTTCAACCTTTAGCTTGACGCTAACCCTCCTCAGGATTTGCAAGGGAAGCAAGCCCCTGCCTGGAATTTTAAAATGAGAAATCTCACAATTTAAACAAGTGTGCAGCTAACTGAAACATTAAAAAAAAATATTACRTGCAGACCAAATAAACCCATCTCAGAGCTGGGTGCAGCCCGGGGGCCTGGTGGAGACCTCTATGTGGACCAGGGCCAAGGTGTCCAACTCCAATGCCCTGGAGACAGAGCACACAGATTTACCCCAAATGCCACCAGTCTCTGATTGGGTGACAGGTAAAAGTGCTTGGTGACCACACTGTCTTGCAGGGTCCTGGTTTCTTGCCTGTCAATTACGCAGGATGGCAAGGGGTCACTTCCTGTGCTGTGTGGGGCGGAGCCATGTGCTGTCGAGCATTTGAGCCATGGTTCCTGTAAGCCAAGGAGCACAGCAACTGCAGGCCACGCAGCAACCTCAGGCCTCCCACAGAGCACGGGCAGCATGTGGTGAGCAGTCCTGGGGGCACTGAGTGCAGAGACGATGGTGTTGTGTGTAGTCGGAGCTACATAAGGCACACTGGGAATCCCTGTGCTCTTCTTTTAAAAACGTGGCTGCTAGAAACTTTAAAAAGACAAATGTGGTTTGTGTATTTCTATTAGAGGGAGCGGCTCTAGTCAGGGGTCGGCCCACTGCACTCCCCAGGCCACATCTGAGTAAAGTTTTATTGGCACACACTTATACCACTGTCCCTGCACTCCAAGGCCAGCAGAGCTGTGAGGCCTGTGAAACCTGAGCTCTTTCCTACACGGACCCTGAGACAGGATGCTGAGCCCTGGCCCAGCCTGCGAGGACAGGCCACACCGTGTCTCACTAGCCCTGGAGGCTTGCACCTCAGGGTCTTAATGAATATTTATCCGATAGAGAGGATAAAAGACTGGAGGTTTTGATGCTGTGTCCCCTAAGTAGGAGGAGGGTGTGGCTCTTTTGGAGATGATAGTTTGGAGGAAAGCAGGGACACTTAGATCAGGCTCCAAATTTAATCCTGGCATTTACACTGGGAGGCAGGTGACACAGGTGCCAGGCGGTGGGGGAGGCGCGGACTGGGAGACTGGGGGCACCTGCCCATCTAAGTGGCCTTTCTGCTCAGCTTTGGTGGATTGTGGTTYAGAGGGGACTTGGCTGAGGAGGTCCAAACTTCTGCTTTTTTCAAAGGAGGCAGGAAAGCCGTGTATTTTCACTTAAGTCTCTCAATTTGGAAACGTTAGAAACTAATTTCATCAATTAGGAATGCTGGTGAGCCAGACCAAATGTGTCTTTAAGGCGGTATGTCCAGGGAGCCCCGGGTACCCCTTGCTTTGTGGAGAGGTCATCTCCAGTCAACACAAGCGGCTTAACATCTACTGTGCTTCTCACCTTAAGAAAAGCGTAACCCAGGTCCTGATTTTTAATCAATTCATTAATTTAATTGGCATCTGCCGAGGGCATAGGGGCTCTTGCCACACTGAGCAGTGTCCAATCTGACATCCACATGCTGGCCGCTGACTTTATAGGGCCGTGATCCTGAGCAGAAGCCTGACGCTTCTCCAGTGACATGAGCTCTGGCTATGTGCAAACCCCGCCAGTGGTCGATGGAGACGTCCTGGGGACATGGGGGATCCCAGGTCTTGACCTGGGGCTGCGGGTCTGTGCTGAGCTGTGCCCCTCTTGTTCCCCTGTAGACCTTCCTGAATACCGTGGGCGAGCTGCTCCTACTGCCCAGTTGGACCGACGTGTCGGAGGTAAGAGCCAAGAACATTTGATCTTCCTAGCACGGCCAGTTCATGTCCATCAGGGGGACAGTGTAGCTATGCACATCTAGGCCACTCGGGCTCACCTTGCCTGGACACCTTGCTGAGGCAGAGCCGAGTCTCAGAGGCTCCAGGGCTGCCGTGTGCACGACCCTCCATTCTGAGGAAGGAAGGGGCTGATTTCCCCACRAGGGAGGACCCTTGCTGGTCACTTACCTGGTGTGCTTTTTCCCACGGCACCCTTCTGGAACAGTAATACGAATTGTGTTTGGCGCTTAAAGACCTCTAGACTGGGGGGAGCAGCTGGTACACGACAGCTCACACCTCAGGGTAAAAGTATCAAAACAAAAAGCTCTCGTTCTCTGCACCCATCAAAGGAGGAGAGTCATTTTTATTTTATTTCCAAAAGACCTACGGACTTCACTTATTTAAGAATAAGTCAACAAATAGTCATGGAGAAGTTGGAAAATGCAGGTGATGAGATTGCAGAGGGCGTGGGTGTCGGTCTGCAAATGCTCTGGCAGCCTGAATTTCCACACACACGTGTGCACGCAGAATCTACAAACAGTGTGTGTATCTGGTTTCGCCTGCTTTTCCTCAATCCTGTCAAGAATGTGTTCCAAGGTACTGAGCCTTCTTCTGCAGCGTAGTGCTAGTCAGGACAGGATAAGCTGCGTTGCAGTAACAATCAGCCCTGCCTCTCAGAGGCTCAGCACAGCCGACATTCACTCCTTGGGCACATGGAGTCCAGGGTGGCTCTGGGACCCTGTCTCTGTCCATCTGCTGCTGCCTGTGCAACACACGGCTTCCACGGCTGCCGGTGGGTGGAGAAGGCAGGAGGCCCAGGTCCCAGCCACATCAGCAGGGTGAAGTGCTCCTCTCCTGAACTCTTGTCATTAGAAATGTTTGGAAGCGTTTTCCAGAGTGACATCTCATTCTCTCCTTATTAATGAGATTGCACCAGGACTTGAATTTCATGGGYTTTTTATTTGAACAATTTCCAATGGATGGAGAGTGTGTTTAGCATTGGCAAAGGGAGGGAAAAGGTCAAGAATGTAAGACTGATGCAATCTTACCTAGAAGCAGATTCTTTTTATAAGGAGCAGCCCTGCAGGGTTGGTGATTTCAAGGGGACTTTGTGTACGACACCGCACCCTGGGTATCCAGAGAGGAGCTGGAGGGCTCAGACAGATGGAGTTTCTGTATCAATTTAAATTAACTCTTTTGGAATGCATAATACATCGCCAGATATGAGGATCTGCTGCAGCCTATGAATAGACAGCAATGTCCTGCACTCAGGCAGGCTGTAACGTGCACTGGAGAGAGAGCGAAGGAATCAGGAATCTGCCGCTCCCCGTGAGAGTGTGAGCCAGGGACACGGATGCTCACGTGCCTAACTGTGCTCGGCTGATTGAAATCGGGCCAAGAGCCCGAGAGAAAACGTCTAAAATTGGCCTCAGCATTCCATTTCCAGCTCATTAGGGTCTCCTGGAGCGTGTGTTTGTGAGAAGCCAAGCTTAGCGCAGACAGATGCAACTCAGAAAGCCCAGAGAAGGGGAGGGCAGAGGGCTGCCGGGGAGGGCGGGGAGGGCAGGACAGGGCAGCAAGACCCCCCCTCCTTGCCCTGTGTCTGAACAGGGGCAGCCGTACCAAATGGGCACATGTCTGAGCTGACAGCAGAAGCATGTGGGGGCCTCCCTGGGGACAGTATCCACAAGGTTCCCCTGCCCTGTGGACTCAGTGGGCACCGAGGCTCTTGGAGGGCAAGTTCAGGRGGCCAGACATGATTTGGGGTGCTGACCACCTGCCTCCATGAACAGTGGGCCATAACTGCTGGTGCCCTCATGCCAGAGAGGACTTGGGCTGTCATCCCCTGCCCCTAGATTGGAAGGAGTGGAAGGGGCAGGACTGGGATTTTCTGTGTCCCCTGGAGGGTGCAGAGTGGAGCCAGGACCAGGGGTCTGAGCCACTCAGCCTCCCAGCACCCAGGAGCCGATGCTTAGCATGGGATCAGCTCTATGCTGAGTCCCTCTCTGTGAGCACGGGAGGGCCCATGGCCACCGTCCAGCCTGACGGGGGTAGTAGCATGGCTTCTCCCTCTGTGCGGCTGTGGAGAGGCAGTGCGGTTGGTGTTTCTGAGACAGGGTCTTGCTGAGGTGGTGAGGCTGCCTGGAATGTGCCGTCTTCCCCCCTCGGCCTCCATTATCAGGGGTGACAGATATAGTCTCTGGGCCGACTAGGCTGGACGTGTCTGCCCTCGACTGCCCATCCCGTGCAGCCTGGGGGTTCTTAGGCTTCCTTGGTCTGTGTTATTTGCAGGACAGCGTCCTGGCACTGGGCCTGATCGACACCATCGACACAGTCATGGGCCACGTGTCTTCCAACCTGCACCCCAGTGAACCCCAGGTCTCCCTCGTGGGCTCTTCCTCCATGGCAGGTACCGGRGGCCAGTGGGGCAAGGCGGGTATGCAGGTGGAGGTGGGGGGCCGGGGCTGGTGCTCCCTGTGGGCTCTGCTGCTCAGTCTCATGCCCACCGGGAGCTGAGGTGAACCCACCTTTGCTGTGTCTTGAAGGAAGGCACAAGGTTAGAGCCAGGGTGGAGGTGGCCCTCACAAGGCGCGCATGCCCCGGCTCACCGCAGGTGCCGCGCCAGCCAGGTCCAGCCGTGGGACCCCCAGGCTGGCAGAGGGCAGCCACCTAGCAGCAGGTTCACTGAGGCCCCAGAGGAAGGGCTGCAGGGGGTGAGGTCACCCCAGGACAAGATCCCTCCTGCCTGGGCTGGAGCCTCAGTTTGGGCAGCGACGACCTCGGGCCCTGTGTTTTTGAGGCCATCTGTTCTAAGAGCGGTGACACTCCCAAGGGAAAGGCAGGTGGCCGGTGCCCCTCCTGCTGCCATGAGCCTGTGCCCAGCTCCTGCCTCCTCTTCCCTCCCTTGCAGACTTCTCCGTGGCAAAGGTCCTCCCCAGGACGCTGGGCGCCCCTCACTACCGCTTCCCTGCCCACGGGCAGAGCTACATCCAGATTCCCCGAGAGGCCTTCTGCAGCCCAGGTGAGTGCAGCGTCTGGGCCCTCTGGGCAGCCCCCAGGGTGGTTCAGGGTCCCCAGGGTGGTCCAGAGTCCCTGGGGGCTGCTGATTGGCCAGAGCTCCTGAGTGCCCTGTGGGAGGGGCCGGGTGTGCTCAGAGCATGTGCCCAAGGGGTGTGCCCAAGAGTGTGCTCCGGCACCCTCAGTGCAAGCTCCGAGGTGTCCCTCAAACACTAACTCCATGCCAGCCACCGACTGAACTGGAATTTTGGGAGTGGGGAGCTGGGAATCTGCACTCAGTGAGTCCGGCCATTCCCGTGGGATTCTCATGTCCCAAGTCTGCTCAGTCCTGGATAGCCAAATGTCAATGGCGAGGGCCACCCCACCCAGGCCTGGCCAGGGACACACCCCTCTGCCCATGAAGGGCCTGCAGCATCCCTGGCAGCCTGGCTCCCCCGGGAGCTCAGCACACGTCTGCAGGGAGTCACTGTCACGGTCCAGCACTCAGTTGCATGGCCACAGTGTGCTGGCCTTTGCATAGCCTGCCTCTGTTGTCTCCAGGAGCTGCCCTGGTCCCTGGGCCTGAGGGGCTATGTGTATGGTGGGTGGGCTTTGTGCTTGTCTGTTTGCCCTGGAATGCTGATACATCCCTGACTCTGCCTTGTCCCCAGCGTGGACCACCATTGTGGGCCTTCTCTACCACTCCATGCACTGCTACCTGAACAACATCCATCCGGCCAGTACAGAGTAAGTCTCGGGTCCACAGCAGAGGACGGTCCTTGTTACTGGGTGGCCAATCTGTGCAACACCCCCGTGCTGTTGCACGAGGAGCGCCATCTTGCCAGAGCGCCCTGGGTGCCAGTGCCTGGTGGCTGCTGCCTGGGGCCTGGCAGTCCTGTGGGACAGGCTGACAGTGAGGTGCTCAGGAGCACAGGTGGAAGACGGTCAGCCTCACCTGGGCCTGGCCGTATGGCCTTGGACAAGTGACTCAGGCCCTCTGAGCCTGTTCGCACGTCTGCAGAACAGGGCAGCAGACCTGCTCATGTCCTTGTCTGCCTTGGGAGGTTGCATTCCCTCATTCACTGATGTGTGCTGAGCACCCACTGTGTGCTGAGCTCCCACTGTGTGCTGAGGGGATGGGGGAGCAAATCGGATAGGAACGGAGCCCTGATGGGGCTCAGATGCAGGGCGATGGCAACCAGTGATGAGCCACAGGAGAGGAGCATGAGGCCGCGCTGGTGGGAGGCCTTGAGCTCAGGGGCTGGGCTCGTCTCGTGGCCTCTGTGGCTGCTCTCGTGGGAGCCCCATCTGGCCAGAGGAGCTGCCCCTGGGTGTTTGTGAGGAGCTGGTGCAGTTCTTCAGGAAGGAGCTGCATGGTGCCCGGGGCCCCACAGGTGGGGCATGGCCTCGCAGGACAGGCGGGCACTGTCTCAGCTCTGAGCCATCAGGCTCTATCCTGGCCCTGATTCACCTCTGACATCTGCTGATGCTCCTCTCTGTGGGGCCACACCCTGTGCATTCCCAAGGGTGAAAACCCTCAAGGGCAAAGGCCATTCTGAGGGCCATGAGTCTGGGAATCACAGTGTCCAGCATTGTGCAAGGCACAGGGCAGGGCCTGGTCTGTGGTCCCCGATGGGGAACGTCGAGCTGCGAGGGCTCCTGGGGCTGTCGTGGAAAGTGAGGGGTGGAATTGGTGGCCCAGCATTTCCTCTATTCCTTTTGCTGTGTGTTTTATTTTGCGGTGGTGTGGAGGGTTGGCTGGGGTCAGTGACATCTTCATGTGGAATTGTCGGAGGACCCTGTCTGTTGTCATTTGCTGGCACAGGAAATTGATGCCTCTCCTGGCTGCAGACTCTGTCTCAGGAAGGTCCCTAGAGCCACCTCCTCAGGACACAGAGGCCGTAGGCTCCATATCCACAGTTCTGGGAATCACCCCTTGTGCTTCCTGGAGGCTACTTCCCAGGGACCCATGTGGGGACACTTTTGCAGGACCTGGGGCCAGGCAAGGGTGCATGTGGGGCTTCACCCCCCATGTCCAGCAGGGTCACCAAACACAGTGCTTCCATCTAGGTACTAGAAAAGCCAGATGAGGGAGGGAAGAGGGGGCCCAGAGCTCCCAGGCCCTGTCCCCTGCTCTGCATGCAGTTGTGTGGGCGAATGCCCTTGGGACCTGCAGAATCCTCAGCCAGTGCCTGGGGAGCTGATGCAGGACACTCACGGGGTCCAAAGGTAGTCAGGTGACCATCTTTCCTTCTAGTTCAGCTGTCTCAAGTTCAGATTCCTGCAGCAGATCCTTGTGGAGCTCCTGCTGTGGGGCCGGAGCTGGGGCAAGGAAGCTCAGACATGCAGCTTAAAGAGGTGCACCCGGGGGTCACTGCACTGCCTACTCCCCACACCTGGACGTGAGCACCTCCTTAATCTTACACACCAGGCACTGGCCGTCCTCGCCTGGTCCTGGCCCTGAATATCATTTCAGACTTGGTATCCCGTGAGACCAGTACCATTAGTGCCACTCAAGCTTCTGTAGATTGGGTTGTAAGTGACGGTGAATCCAGATTAAATGTTTTAAGCAAAAGGGGAATTTGTTGAGCCTTGTGAGCTGAAAGCTCCACAGACATTTGGCTTCAGGGGCAGCTTGAGCCAGCAGCCATTTGGTGTCACTAGGTTCTATCTCCAGACTCTTCTTAGTTTAGGGGCCACTTGGAGAGAAGCTGAGGAGCTTTTCCTGGAAGAGGAACATGAGTGCCAGGGCAGAGCAGTAGAGCTYGGCCAGGTTATATGCATGCTGCTTCAGAGTCAGGGAAGGGGGGTTTCAGGCAGGGTGGGTAACCTGCCCAGGGCCATGCAGCCTTGGGACCCTGTGGTCTGGGTCTTTCTGTTCTCGTGCACTCCCCGGGTGTTTTGAGGCAGGCCCTTCCTGGCTCTGGCCTTGCCCTAGAGAGAGAGAGCAGTGCTGAAGGATCAGAGTCCACACACATGCTCAGAGGGTGGGTGGCAGGCCCCCCCTAGTGCAGCAGCCCTGAGTGGTGGCAGTGGCATTCTTCCCAGCAGGGTCTGTGTCTCCGAGGCTGCAGGCCTGGTGCCCAGCTCTGACTGCAGGCCGCCTTCTGTTGTTGTCCCTAACATTTCCCATTTGTCTCCAAGGATTGCCGAGGCAGCCAACTGCAGGACCTGCTTGCTGTCCGCTGCCAGCTACCTGATTTCCCTGGAGGTGTCCCCACCACCCATGGTCTCCCAGAATCTCTCGGGGTCTCCTCTCATCACGATTCACCTCAGGCACAGGCTGGTGAGTTTCCAACTGCCCCTCATCCTGTCCTCCCTCTGGTTTGTGCTGAGGAGCTTTGCCATCAGGGTGACTGTATGAGGACACTGTGGTGCTGGCACAGAGTCCCTGCTCCTGTGACTGAACTGCAGCAGGAGGTTCAGGGAGGGCTGGAGGGCCTCTGAGCGCAGAGATGTGTATGGGGATTGCACACGTGCCAATGGTCAGGACTAACGTCCTGTTGGGAGGACAGGAACAGGTGTGTCTCTCAGTACAGTGTTTAGTGGACAGGATCAAGGTGCAGAGCTCATCTGGGTTCTCCTTGAGTTCAGCACAAGCGTCTCCAGCCTCAGGTTTGCAAGATGAGTTTGCCCTGTGTCGTAACCTCAGTTCCCTCCATTCTTTCTCTGTCACTGGGTGAGAAGGGCACAGGCGTGGGAGGTACCAGGGCCTCTGTCCCTCAAGATGCCTGTGATCCTCCTGTGTGGTCCTGTGTTTGAAATGTGGCACTAATTCTGCTCCCAAGGAAGTGCCACTTGTGCAACCAGCATGGAGCTGTGAGGACCAGCCACACCAGGTGTGTTCATCTGTGCTGCCCTGAAGGACACAGGGACACTGTGTGGAGCTGTCCTTGTGAAGGAGGCCAGTACAGGACAGTAGATGTTCAAATCCTGCCCAGAGGGCCAGTGAAGAGTCTGGAGGAGGGCAGGAGAGAGAACAGGCAGGTGGAGGAGCCCCAGGGGTCAGAGATGGACTGCCTGGCACAGAACCAGGGCTGTACCACAGCCAAGTGTCAAGGACATCCCAATTCACACACCCAGAACACACTGGACACACTCAGGCACACACCCAGCACACACTCATATGCACTCCTCCTGTAGTTTTGGGCTGGTGAGCTGTGGAGTCTGAGGTGGTGGTGAGCTCGTGAGGCCACAGCCCACCTTTCCTACCCTGTGTTCTCTGGTGGTTCCCTTAGAGGCTCCTGGGCAGGGTGGGGTACTAAAGACACCTGGCACTCACTCTGTACCTGGGAATGACTCCAAAACAGCCCAGGTGTCCTGCAGCCGGGTTGGGCGGAACATGAGGTTTATGGCCCTCCCATGTTTTTGGCATTGTCATCGTCCCCAGTGTTTGGAATGCTAAGCTGCTGGTCTCAGTGAATGACCACTGGCCTCTTGGTGGCTGCATGCTAGTGCTCTGGAAGGTTGGTGTTTGTTCACAGGTGGACCCAATCCCCCTTTCTGCTCTCCTTATTTTGAACTCTGGTTATGTTATAGCCAAATGACAAAGAGCAGAGAGGTGGAGACCCTCTGGCCTCATGGTGGGGTAGTGAAAATGAATTCTGGCAGYCAGGCACACCATAGCACCTCTCCTGGGACCATGCACACATGAAACTCACTTCTGAAGGTGTACACTGCCAAGGAAGACTGACACAAGCTGGGTCCTGAGGGTGCCTTGCTGGGTGCTCTTCTGAGTGATCCAGCAGTGACTCTGGGCACAGCAAAGCCTGGATTTAGCAGTCCCAAGTGTGCATCCTGCCCCAGAACAGCACGTTCAGGAACCCCAGGTGTGCATCCTGCCACAGCACAGCACATCCAGGAAGCCCAGGTGTGCATCCTGTAATAGCACAGCACATCCAGGATTCCCAGGTGTGCATCCTGCCCCAGCAGACACATCCAGGTGTGCACCCTGCCCTAGAACAGCATGTTCAGGAAGCCCACTTGTAAATCCTGTAATAGCACAGCAATTCCAGGAGTCCAGGTGTACATCCTGCCCTAGTACAGCAAGTCCAGGAAGCACAGGTGTGCATCCTTCCCCAGCAGAGCACATCCAGGAAGCCCAGATGTGAATCCTGTCATAGCACAGCATGTCCAGGAGTCTAGGAGTGAATCCTGCCCTAGTACAGCAAGTCCAGGAAGCCCAGGTGTGTATCCTGCTCCAGTACAGTACATCAAGAAGCCCAAGTGTGCATCCTTCCCTAGTACAGCACATCCAGAAAGCCCAGATGTGCATCCTGCCCTAGTACAGCACATCCAGGAAGCCCAGTGTGCATCCTGCCCTAGTACAGCACATCCAAGAAGCCCAGATGTGCATCCTGCCCTAGTACAGAATGTCCAGGAAGCCCAGGTGTGCATCCTGTAATAGCATAGCATATCCAGGAAGCTTTGGTGTTCATCCTTTAATAGCACAGCATGTCCAGGAAGCCCAGGTATCCATCCTGTCATAGCATAGCACGTCCAGGAAGCCCAGGTGTGCATCTTGCTCTAGTACAGCACATCCAGAAAGCCCAGATGTGCATCCTGCCCTAGTACAGCACATCCAGGAAGCCCAGATGTGCATCCTGCCCTAGTACAGCACATCCAGGAAGCCCAGGTGTGCATCCTGTGATAGCACAGCACATCCAGGAAGCCCAGGGATGCATCCTGTCATAGCACAGCACAGCCAGGAAGCCCAGGTGTGCATCCTGTCATGGCACAGCACATCCAAGAAACCCAGGTGTTCATTCTGTCAGAGCACAGCATGTCCAGGGAATCCAGGTGTGCATCCTGTAATAGTACAGCATGTCCAGAAAGCCTAGGTGTGGATCCTGTCCCAGCACAGCATGTCCAGAAAGCCCAGGTGTGCATCCTGCCCTAGCACAGCACATCCAGGAAGCTCAGGTGTGCATCCTGTAATAGCACAGCACATCCAGGAAGCCCAAATGTGCATCCTGCCCTAGTACAACATGTCCAGGGAGCCCGGGTGTGCATCCTGTAATAGCACAGCACATCTAGAAAGCCTAGGTGTGGATCCTGTCCCAGCACAGCATGTCCAGGAAGCCCAGGTGTGTGTTCTATCCCAGCACAGCACAGCTAGGAAGCAGAGGGGCAGGAGTGAGGGTGTGGGGTCAGGTGCAGGCTGCAGGTGCTCTGTGAACTCTCTGGGGCAGAGAGGCCAGCAGAGAGGCTCGGGCCTGCTCAACCTGCTAGCCTGCTGTGTTCTGGTGGAAGGGAGGCCAGTGATGGCTTCTGGGGGATTTAGAGCCTGGGTTCCCATGTGGCTGGAGAAGAACCTACAGCTGCGGAGCAGAGCTGCACACATGTTCTCCTCTCAGGGACACTATGGAACCCTCCTAACACAGGAGCTGGTGTTGTCCAGAGGCACTGCTGCCTGGCCAGGCTCTGGCAGGGCATGGGTATCTTCTTTACCTGGTCCTCAGGCTCCCTAGCAGCAGGTGCCTGGGGGCGCATGGCCTTCTGCCCTCTGCGGAGGAGTGATAGGCTCTGGGGCCTCGAGGCTGTTGCTGGTGGCCTTGGACATTTTTGTCCTTGTGAAGTGAGAAGGTGCCAATTTGAAAACCAGAGAAGAAAGGGTGAGTTGACTGAAGCACAGTCCCTGCCTTGATGACCGGTCACTCTAGGTTACTCTAGATGTTTTGCACAAAGAATGTGTTGAATAAGGAATCTTGTCTTGAAGAGAGGCAGATGGATCTCTGTCATCCCAGTAGAGGACAGTGATTGAAGCTTAGCCCAGTGTCCTCTGGGCCTGGGGTTTTCCTCCAAAGGCTGTGTTCACACTTCTGAGGGCCTCTGGAGATGTGTCTTTGAGCTGCTAGGGCCGATGACCTGTGGGGATGGAGGGTTCTGGGGTGGCTGGGTATCCCCCTTTCCCCTGTTCTTCTGAGGGGAGGAGGGGGCAGAGGGGCGGAACTCTACCATTCGGCATATGGCCCAAGGTCTCAGCCCAGGGCTGTGGGGCCTTCTTGTCCTGCACAGAGGGGTGCAACCCCAGCTCTCGAGGGACAGAGCTCCAGCCCAACCCAGATGGAGCCTCTGGCTGGCCTGGGGATGAAGGTGGACACGTTGCAGACCCAGGCTTGCTGGCAGACCCACTGAGGCCCTGGACGTGGGACCACATTGCTCTACTGAGTATGCTGGGCCCTGTCCACCGCCTGCACCTTCAGGCTTCTGAGAACAAATGGGACAGGAAGTTTTTGAGTCGGCCTGTGTTCTGGATGTGGTTTGTCCTGTGGCTGGGTCACTGCTCCCCCTCCTGTGCCCCCAGGGCAGGACACTTCCTTACACTCTGCTCTCTGGGCAGATAGGCCTCCTTGTAGGGCCTATTTTGGTACCTATGCGTCCTTTGTCACTGAAGTCAGCAAACTGCATGCATTCTCCTGGGACACGGAGAGGGTAAGTCTAGGGGAAGAGGGGTGCAGAGGCTTCTAGCGGTGCCGAGAGCCCCATGCCTGGTACGCCAGGAGCAGACATCATGCCCAGGTGCGGGGCAGGATCCTACCTCTGAGGTAGGTCTGCTGTCCACTGCTTGCTGGAACGGCTCTGCCCTCTCGTGCTCCATGTTTTTCTGGTAAGACTGACGGACCCCAGGGCTCTATTGTGGGGCCGGCCAGAGCACAGCAGGCTGCTGAGCAGTATCCCTGGCCCCCAGCTGTGAAAGCCCAGTGCACCCTCGAGATTCCCAGGTAAGCCCTGGCCTATCACTGCCATGGTAAGCGCGAGATGGCGCTCCTCATACGCCACACCCACCATCTGAACTCCCTCATCTGCCCATTGACTTATAATTTGGTTGTTATAGTCCTGGACTATTAACGCCARCACTTTCCTTTGCTTCCTGAATCGCAGAATTCCCAGCCAGACCTGAGGGGGACAGGAGCAGGTGGGTTGCTCTCCTGAGGTGAGAGCTGTTCTTCTAGGATCTGTGGCAGATGGGAAGAGATGCTTTGATGGAAACTTTCTTTTCTGACTGCGGTCCTTCTTTGGTGCGCCAGGGCCCAGGGCACCCAGCTGGGCACACACACTCATGGCAAATGCAACTAATCGTCATCTGGAATCCACCATCCAGAAAGAATGGATGGTGACATTCAATTTATTTACAGTTTTAAATTAGTGCATAGGGGTGGGCACGAGGTGGGATCCCTGTGGTGTCCTCTTAGGTGTGCGTGGCATGCTGTGGTCAGTTTGACCCCACCCGTCCTCCTCTTCCTGTCCCTCCCCCCTCAGTCCTCTTTCTCTGCTGCACTGATC